GATCGTTCTTGATCGTTCCGTTCGTTCTCGGGATAAGAACGATCGTTCCACCTGGAACGCGCGCCCAGCCCTATATAGTAGCATTTAGACCTAAATATAGTTGATCATAGATTTACGTTATTGATGGATCTGATATTATCTTAGAGGTTGAGAGGATAGAGTGCATGCAGTTTATTAGTATCTTTTGTTGTACTTAGAGAGTCAGTCAGTCAGTCAGTCAGTCAGTTTATCTCCCTATCCGGAGCGGACACAAAATATCCAATAACAAAACACCCAAAGTTCCACAGCTTCCTATTCTCATTTTACCTTTGCAGCACTGCGCGTCCCCATATGGCTTCCGATCTTTCCACATTCCGGTAATGTTCTTCCATTTATAATCGTCAATTTCTACTTAAAAACGGTTGAATAATTCGATTATTTAAGCCTGCTATTCCATCCATTGTATCCTTAATATTTTTACAATATTTTTTATCTAGGAACAGGTAAAATGAAAATGAGGTTCGGAAGCTGTGCGGGAAAGGTTGCCTTCCCTTCCTACGAACACGGCGCTGCCCAGGTTCCTCCTAATGTTACTTCCACTGCACCGTAACCTGCACTTGGTCGTAAATTATGAATTTACCTATTTTTCTTTAACAAGGTCGATTCACTTAACTAAAAAATTCAAAACCAAACTAATAATATTCCTGTGGTTCTCCCGAGTTCCCCAGTCGAAACTTGTGACAAATCGGTCCTGGGGAATTCTTGAGTTATGATCGAACATACAAACTGAGTAAATAGTTTACAAAAATAGAATTATCTTTTAAATTATTATTCAGTCGAGCCATGGCGTCCTGTCCCATGAGCGGGGGGACGCCGGCGCCCGACGATCATAAGCCACAACATTTTTCCCTTCCATGCCTCATATTATCTTTTTTTGTCTTCCGGTAGCTATAAGCCACAACCTTACGGTCTTCCATGCCCAGGCATTTGAATCTTCCGGCAGTTATGTTTTTAAATGATAAAATTTAGTGCCTTGAATCCTGCCACATTACGTGTGTTAAGTTTAAGAACTGCTTTACATTTTACAAAGAAAATTTTACATAATTTTATAAGGGGTTAGTCTAGAATAAGCAAAGATGGGGAAAATCACAATATTAACTGTCATTACCAAATATCCTCAATTACACCAAATCGAAATTCAATTAGTTTTACTCAACCTGTATTATGGTTGGAGAACCAATGAGAATAAAATCCTTTCCTCTACAATCATTTGTTAAACCGAAAATTCAATTGGTTGTACTCAACCTATATTGTGGTTGGAGAATGGAGAACCCATGAGAATAAAAACCTTTCCACCATTAGAATGGGGAAACACAATTTTAAAATGATGAAAGAGTATTACATGCTTCACTTTCAATACTTGTTTGTATGCCGTGACATTTGATGATTTCAAGTATAAATGTCAGAACCGGAAATCAACTAATCTTTGCTTTAAAGGGAGTGTTCGCAAAAAATGAAAGGGGGTATAGGCTTAATGCGATAAAAAGGCGCTTTTGATCGCTACTTATCTTATTTTCATCTGTTGCGTCTTTAAGGAGAAAATAAATTGTTAAAAACGACTCACACCGAAGAACGCAGCGTCCATACAAATTCGGAAAGATGCAACATTCAACTCGGATCGTAAACAAATCAATTTAATTCCAAACAAATCATTCAGATATTACAAACAGTAGTCATCGATTATTTTTGACGCATTCGTATATAGTTAATATTTCATAACATTTTGATTTTTTTTTTAATTTTCGCTGGCGTTGGATTTTCGAACATTCCTGGAAAATATGAAAATGTCGTCTTCATTATCAAAGAATTCCGCAAGTTTTTTTTTGCTCATTTAGCTACAACACATATGATTTTCGCATTTTTTCAAATAAGTTTCCATTCGCTGAAAACCCTTACGTTAACCCCGCGTACTATAAATTAGATGTCATCAGCACCTAAAAGCTTAGATTTCTCTTTGTGCAAACCTGGGGAGGAGAAGGGAGGATATTGAAATCCTAAGGTATGTCCATATACATAAAATAACTTTAAATTTGAAAAAACTAAACCTTTCCATAAATTCTTTTTAGTTTTATTCCTTTCATTATTAAAGTTCCCTTCAACCCCTGACTGGGTACGATTCTCAATCGGGATATATATCGAGATTAAGATTAAATTAATCTGCATTTATCTTGATATGCACAGTGCAAAAGTTCCAAGCAAAAATATTTCAAGGCAAAAAAATTACTTTAAAACGTTTATTTATTCATAAATCAATTTTGAAATTAGAAATTACAATAATTGCTGGAAAGTGATAGTTGGATAGAACTGGTTTAATCCTGTTCAGCAAGATGTGTAGAACTGGTTTAACCCTGTTCAGCAAGATGTAATGAACTGGTTTAATCCTGTTCAGCAAGATGTGTTGAACTGGTTTAATCCTGTTCAGCAAGATGTGTAGAACTGGTTTAATCCTGTTCAGCAAGATGTGTAGAACTGGTTTAATCCTGTTCAACAAGATGTGTAGAACTGGTTTAATCCTGTTCAGCAAGATTTGTTGAACTGGTTTAATCCTGTTCAGCAATGGATGTCAGATGATAATCAATCTGAGTCTCAGTGAGAATTTGGAACTTGGGGTTCTCCTTGGTCACAATTCCAACCTATAATATAATAATTAATTGCATGGTCACATCGGACATTTTCTTCAATGATTGAAATATTTGTGAGATTCTTTAGAATTTATTTTTTCTTTATGTTTTGATTGCACAGTGTTGTAATAAAATGAGAAATTCCTGTATACAAACAGTCTTCAGTCTTTACTGTTCATAACTAAAAACCTTTTAACGTTTATATAAATGCAGGGATGTATATTTTACAGAATTACACCCCCGCCCCCTGAATGATTTTTGATGATTGGAGGGGGAAAAATTACAAAAATGTGCTATCAAAAATCATGTCATTTTTAAATACTTTTTACCCCAAAAAAATTATTAATTTTTTCCAATTCAGTAAAAAAAACCATAACAAAAGATTTTTACGCACAACCAAAAACAGCAGCAGAGCCCGAATCGTCCCACCCGTATTTATTGCAAACACATGACGTCTCCGATTGTGACCGTTCGAAGTACGATGAAACCCGACCCCTCTCGGCGAAAATAAATAGAAAGCATAGTAATTTAAGATTATGTGCTGAAACATATTCTTTGGGTGACATCTAGCAGACAAACATTAGTACGAAGACATACAAAGTACGTCTAAAAAACGCCCGTTAAGTTGGCATGAGTCGGGCTCCGACTTGGTTTTTTTTATTGACCATTGAAAATAGATAACACAAAGACGATCTGGAATTCGTCAGTCACTCAATTTAATTGCTCACGTATCCGAGCTACTGCATAATTTTAAATATTTGCTTTTGTTAACTTAAATATACAAAACTAGGTTTTTATGGTACTTCACGCTCCTTTTCCTTAAACAATTAAAGTTTTAAACGGTTGCTCTGAAACTTGTCATTATTAATCGTTACCAAATTTTGAGTTAATATTTTAAATTAGAGCATTTTTAAAAATAAGAAATGTCAACATTTTTTCGGGGCAAATTTTTCAACTGGGGCCATAAACAAGAGTTGATTGGGTACGATCGGCTCAGCTGTTGACGGACCGACAATCCAAGTGTAAACAATACCTCGATCTCTGTAGGCTTGAAGTCAGCAGAGAGTATAGTTGACAGACAGTTGATAGCGGTCTAAACATAATCAAATCAATTATTAAGATCAGTGCTTAGAATCCCTAGATCCAAATCCGTTGGATCCGCAAAACTATGCAGATCCAAGGATCCAGATGTGAAAAATATCTAACAAAAATTGTTGCTCTTAAAATCCAAATCTGAACTGTTTTTAAAAGAGATTCTTTTTTCTGAATGGTTCATCAAGTTTTAGCATAAAAAAGCATTTTTTTTTAAATTTGAACATTTTTCTTTTGTTTAGCAAATCCGTAATTTTTATAGAAATGTTCATGACATGAATCCAAATCCGGATCCGCATCAAAATGAACGGATCCTGAGCACTGATTGAGATATACAGGGTTCCCCATAAATGACACTATAGAGACGACTGTACGGAATCTATATTGGCCGTTTCCTTTATATATATATGTAACCTTGACCATGGGATTAAAAATTATTATTTTTCACCAAAAGTTGCAATATTCCAAAGAAGTCGTCGATTTTTAACTCATTTAATTTACCTAAAAATCATTTAGCGGGAACACTTCAAAAATGATTTTTCTACAAAATAATAATGATGCAAACCTGGATTGCTTCATCTCCTGTGAGTTCAGATTTCTTCTTAAACTTCTTTTCTAGGAAACTATTTGCCTCGGTCTGCTTGGTACCAACACTGCAGGCCTAATCAAACAAAAAGCATGAAATGATTTCTTAAGTCAAATAAAAATCGTTATTGGACAAAATCTTTTGAAATGATTTTCAACATGAGAATCATTGAAATTGATCTTCAACATGAGAATCTTTTAAAATTAATCTTCAGCATGAGAATCTTTGTAATTGATCTTCAACATGAGAATCTTTTTAAATTGATCTTCAACACGAGAACCATTGAAATCTATCTTCAAAATGAGAATCTTTTAAAATTAATCGTCAACATGAGAATCTTTGTAATTGATCTTCAACATGAGAATCTTTTTAAATTGATCTTCAACATGAGAATCTTTTAAAAATGATCACATGAGAATCTTAGAAACTGATCTTCAACATGAGAATCTTTGAAATTGATCTTCAACATGAGAATCTTTTAAAAATGATCTTCAACATGAGAATCTTTTCCAATTGATGTTCAAAATGAGAATCTTTTGAAATTGATCTTCAACATGAGAATCTTATGAAGTTGATCTTTGAAATTTATCTTTAACATGAGAATCTTTTAAATTGATCTTCAACACATGCGAACCTTTGAAGTTTATCTTCAACATGAGTATCTTTTGAAATTGATCTTCAACATGAGTATCTTTTGAAATTGATCTTCAACATGAGAACCTTTAAAATTGATCTTTAACATGAGAATCTTTTCCCACGAAACAATATTAAAACGCTGAAAATAATCTTTAAATTAGTAAAACTATGATTATTTTTATAAAGCAAAGAAAAATATTGATGGTAAAACTACAAAGTATCCAGCAGGGTCTGTTTAAAAAACACAAGGACCATGCAGAATGCAGATCTTTATATGCAATCATTAGAGGGACTGTAAAGGAAAAAAAGGGGGTATAGGCTGAAAGCTAATCACTTTTGCTCTCGATCGCGACCCATGAAAGTTATATCTGATGTTCCTATCTCGAGAAATTGATTTAAAACTTTGTCAAATTTATACGAAAATTAATATATATACAATTGTGTATAAAAAGTAGTGGGTTTAGATAGATCAAATTCAGCAAATAAGCAACCAATCTGAAAACGATTAAATCCCATAGAAAGCTAATTGTAACTTAGGTTTACTCCAATTCTAATTTTATATTTTTTATTTCTATTTTTAATAGATTTAATGCATATTATCTATACGTCCGTATTACTTGACCAGATAATCCACCAATGGCAGTGCAGTATAGTGGTCACGTGATACAGGCGGAGACACGTGACCAGTATACTGCTCTGCCATTGGTGATAATTCTGGTCACGTGATTTAAGTTTAAGATTTTCTAAATTTTACGTATATGAATTTTCGTATAATTTTAACACAGTTTTATATCAATTTCTCGAGACAGGAACATTAGATAAAACTTTCATGGGTCGCGAACAAGAGCTAAATAAATAAGCTTTCAGCCTATACCCCCTTTCATTTTTCCTTTACAGTCCCTTTAAGTGTTACCTTGTAATCCGCAAAGTATCCAGCAGGATCTGTTTTGAAAACACAGGGACCATGCAGATCATCGAATGCAATCATTATCATTGAGCAGCCGAGAGGACGCATCTCAGCATTCTGGGTGTACACCTGAACAAATGTAAAATTTAATTTAAATTCAATTAAATTTAAAATTACTAAATAACGACGACGAAAAATAAAAGTAAAAATCATACAGTAATCTAATTAGATGGTTGGGAACATATTTCTCAGGATTGACAGATCTTTAAAAAGTTTTATATGTCTCAAATGAATCCTTTAGAAGCTTTCCACAACACTGCATACTCAGTACAACTATCTTACATAGCCGGTCTGTCCCTTCGAGGTATTTATCAAAATTTCAAGTGGCCTAGGCCTTTCATTTCACGACGACGACCCATTTAATTAATAAGGATGACAGACTTTCATTTATTTATCAACATAAATATTCACATTAGAATTTTTGAAACGGACTAGAATGTTCTAGATTTTCTAGAATATTCTAGATTTTCCAAGAAAAAATGAGACGTCAACCCCGTTCAGTTTACAAAGTACGCAAGATTTAAGATACCAGTAATAGGGTATATAGAAATAAACGATTATCAATCAATCAATACAAAGTACGCTTGAGGAAACTCCAATTTTGCGGCTTTTTACATGGCATTTCTGCGAGGCGTAAGTTTTTAAACTTTAAAATTTCATGAAATGTTAGGTCAAACTGAGGCCGAATTTAAAGAATTTTAGACTCGGCTCAAATATGGTTGGTTCCACTTAGAATTGTATTCAATTTTTCAAGATTTAAGCTGGCTCTCATTTACAACCGGTTTTTAGCGGATTTAATTATGGGCTCAAATTAATTAAATTCGGACTCTGATCTCAGAATTGTGTCATTACTAACCTCAATTATGTTACTCTTTTTGATATACGTGTACTTTATCTATATAATAAAACAAGACATTTGTATATTTTTATGCTGCGTATAGCCGGCAAAACGGGTGGACCGATTGGGCTGAATTTTTTTTGTGGACACTTATGGGCGGTCGGGGGGTGTCATAGGCTAACAAAAATTCAAATTTTTTTTCTCAATTTTTTAAAAGTTTTATTCAATGTTTTTTTCAACCTTTTTTCCCACGGGCAACGCCGGGCCCTTCAACTTGTACAATATAAAATACAAAAATAGTTCTATTCATTTTTATTGTTGCATGATAAAATTTAGAAAAGGATAGAATTAAAAGGTTTCATGAAAGATCTTCGATGTATCTACAATCTATGATTTAATCTTGTATTGCGAAGGAAAAAAATTTTAACCTGTGCGATATCAGACAACCGCTTGCATAGATCGTATACAGACATATCGTATCCGTGCTTGTACTTCCAGTTGGCAGCCTCGTAGCGGGCCCTCTGTACCAGGGACCTCGAGTCAGCAACCATACCTGCGTAAGTATGGTTAAGCGTTTTGGATAGTTAAAAACTTAAAACAAAATAATAATACTTCCTCAAATTCAAAACTGTATTATTTTAATATCTGCTTTTAATAACTTTGCTATATCTTGATCCCTAAAAAACATAAACTCCTCTTATACTCGGCCAAATTTTGACCGCGGAAGAAAATATTCACAAAAACCGACCCAAAAATTACGTGCGAACATCAAATCACAGGGATTGCTTGAGGCGCCTTTCCTTTGGCTTAAGAGTTTTAATTTCTTCCGAACTTCCAGATTTTCAGCCGAAATTTATCTTACATTTGAATTTTCATTTGTTATTTACGTACTCTTTATGCATTATCCGTTTGGGTTAAGTTTGTTGGATTACGTTTGTGACTCTCTTTATATAGATCTCAGCAGCGCGGCGCGATCAAATTAGAGCCATGCTACCATTTTTTAATATCATCCGATTGCTAATTGCTAAACATACCCCACATCTGGGGGGGGGGGGGAAATACTTTCCAAAGTAGGAATGATTTATAAAAATACGTATATCTGTTTCTTTTTTTACATAAAGTAGTAATCTCTGTTTGTATGTCTTAATCATATTTAATGAACCTTATGGCCGATTTGTCTAAAATCTTGATCGATTGGAATGTTCTTAGCTTGGCTTAAAAATTCCAAATTCATTTGGGTAACTTTAGATGGGAATGTTTAGAATGCCAAGCAAAGCTGAATTCCCAATCTAGAAGTAATTTTACCTGTCATAACACAACCGATTCCATCTGTTATCTTGTACAGGTTTGTCACAGTGCTAGCATCAAGCAGCTTGTCGGGGACCTGAACAAAAATAGTCATAACGATATAGGGAAAAGAGGTAAAGAAACAAAAATTGTATTTTCAAAATACAGATTTGTTATTTTAATGCTCCATGGGCCAAGATTGTATATTGGAGTTCGTGGTTTATTTCTCTGAATTTATAAAAACCAATGAATCGGCTAGTATTTTTTACCGTAGATAAAACTAATATCAAAAAAAGTCCTTTAGTTGAAAGAACACATTAATTATCAAACAAACCTTTTTTAAAGTAGCGACAGCAGCACAATCTAATCCCTGAAATAAAAGAATTAATCATTTTTAAAACGAACATCCTCCTAAATCATACAAATGTGTAGGGTAAAATATATTTCTCTACGGTCTAATAATGTAGAAAATATTTAGGAAAAGGCTAAATTAGGACAATTTAGTCGAGCACTGCAGCTGGAAACGATCAGGGGGCCCAGCACTCCCATTGGGAAAAAATATGGGGCCAAGCGATCCCATTGGGAAATAAATAGGGGGACGAGCGCTGCAACCATGGAAAAAATGGGGGCCAAGTACTAGATTCGGAAACAAAGGTGGTCTAAAATTCGGATAATAGAGCGCAGAGTCAGGGCCAGACTAGGTGGCCAGCATTAGGGCTACTTTTTCACAATATAAGAAGACTTAACTCAAATTTATTATATTCTTTTGAACTTTCTTCTTAACAACTTTATTCAATACAAATATATCAACAATAGTATTTCTCATTTGCAGAATCATTGAGAGAAACATTTTCTCATCTTATCTTCATACCTATTACTGTAATAGGTAATAATGATATTATTTTAAAGCAGTATTTTAAATTGTATTGGCGTGCACGAAAATAAAGTTAGTTGTAATCATTTAATTAATCCAATAATTTGTAATTAATGACAATAAAAAAATATTACCTTTACAGCAACTGAAGTTGTTGCTCCCTGGTTGATCGCCTTGAACGCGTATTCAACTTGATAAAGACGTCCCTCGGGACTAAAGATTGTAATATGACGATCGAACCCTGCACTGGATCCGCGGGACATCTTTAGGTCTGAAATATTATATAAATCTAAGCTAGGTATATTCCTAGTATACGATTTTTGGACCCCCCCCCCCCCCCCCCCTCCTATCAATTTTGTACATGGGTCTGACAAGAAGTTTCTTACCTTAACCTAACCCGTGGCCGCAGCGCCGGCCCAGAAAGTGTCTTAACTAACCTAACCCGTGGCCGCAGCGCTCGGCCCCCTAGCCGCAGCGCTCGGCCCAGAAAGTGTGGCCGCATGAAAACCTAGACAATAAATAATGAAGTTCTAAGATTAACGACCTATCTCCTCTGCTTAAGTGATAAACTTAAAAAGTAATGACAAGATGACTTGATGAGTTGCATTTCTGTGAGCGCAATCTACCGGCAAATGCCGCAAATAAGTATTGGATATCAATCAACTAATCAACAACTTCCCGGATTTTTGTATTGTGTACAATCCAGGGTTGCCAGGTAGGCTTCTAGAAGGCAACTTTTCATAAATGTAGCCCAATCAGATTTCAGAACTCCTTTTGCATTGGTAGCCTCAGGGCTACGTTTTTGTAGAATTATTGGCCTAAAAGTAGCCTTTTCATCAATCGGCAAGTTTTTCATCCTTTTTGATACTTTTTTTTATTAAAAATTCGACAAATAAAATTTTAAAATTGTTTTGCGCTCCGCGCAAACATTCTCGATATGATACAACAACTATCTCTAAACCATTGTTTGCCTAAGTATGAAAAAAAAGGTTCTTTTATAAAGATAAAAAACTTAGTTCTTTTATTTACAGTTGTTTTGGAGTATCGTTCAATTTTTTAATAGTTTTTGCATATAAAATTAGTGATAAATTAGTATTTACCAAGGTAAATTAATTGTAAATTCAATCATCAAAAAGTAGCCTAGAGAGGGCTAAACGTAGCCTTAAAAAATTCTCAATTTAGCCTTGTCCTTCTTTTCTAGCCTGGCAACCCTGGTGTACACTTCAACACAGCTGCCACATTATACAAATATCAACAAACTTTACAAGTTCACTATAAATAGTCATATTTAAATTCAAGAAGCTTTTTGACTATCATTTTTTTTGACTATTATATTTTGAGGTTTTTAGACTATTTTTTTTTAAATTGCATTAAAAAAGACTCATTATTATTATTTAAATCTATATTTGAACTTATAATTCAATTCGTCGAAATTTGTTTAGCCCACAATGCGAATATGCTTCCACAGTCAACGCTCTCCAATACAGAAGTGAACGAGCTTTATATTCAGTAAGTACTGAGTACAGGGTTACCCACCAAGGATGAGACTTTATAGACGACTATTCGTAATTTGTATTGTACTTATGATTCCCAGAAACTCTAAACTCTTCCTTTGTGAAATTATTTAATAATCCATTTAATGACCACATTCAAGACTTAATTTAAGTTTGGTAACGTCATATTTGTCAAGTTTCAGGTCGTCTTTACAATCTCATCCTTCGTGGGTAACTCAGTAAATTCTATTTACTATACGTGGCACATTTGCTTCATCTTACATCTATATTCTCATGGTCAAACTTAAATCTGGTCTAAATTACATATTTAACCTGAGCTGAAAACTTTAGAATGGTGGATATCGATATTATTGCTTGATCTCCTCTTTTTATTAATCTCCAGATAAAATATGGCTTGTACTCCTCTTGTTATTAATCTCCAGATGAATAAAAAAAAATCGGGATTAAGAATATCCCATTCTAAAGTTTTCAGCTCTGGTATTTTCCTAGAGAACGATTTTTTTAGTTTTACAACCTTATATATATATTTAACATTATATTTATAGTCAATCGTACATTTATTCGACCTTACTTTTGGACAAGGTTAAAATTGATTAACCTTTTATTTGATCAACCTTAAATTTGATCAAACTTACATTTGGTCAACCTTAAATTTGATCAAACTTACATTTGGTCAACTTTACATTTGGTCAAACTTACATTTGGTCAACCTTACATTTGGTCAACCTTACATTTGGTCAACCTTACATTTGGTCAACCTTACATTTGGTCAACCTTACATTTGGTCAACCTTACATTTGGTCAACCTCACATTTGGTCATACATTTGGTCAACCTTACATTTGGTCAACCTTACATTTGGTCAACCTTACATTTGGTCAACCTCACATTTGGTCACCCTTACAGTTATCTTACATTTTGTCAACCTTACATTTGATCAACCTTACATTTGGTCAACCTTACATTAGTTTAACCTCACATTTGTATTAAGGTTGATTAATCTTGTAGGTTGTTTAATCTAGTATTAGCTTAATTTATCTTGTTTCAAGGTTGATTTTTCTTGCATTAAGGTTGATTAATCTATTATTAAGGTTAATTAATCTTGTATTGAGGTTGATTAATCTTGTATTAAGGTTGATTAATCTATTATTAAGGTTGATTAATCTTGTATTAAGGTTGATATGTGCAATTTGTGCCGAGGTATGCCATAGAGCTGTTAAACTATCATGCTGCCAATCACAGGTCATTTTACTAAATATCATACAGGGCTATATATTTTACAGAATTACTCGAGGGGGGTGGGGGGTATTGATTTTTTACTATTTAGGAAAAAATGAAAATTTGATACCTCGACAAACTCATTGATTTCCTCCTAAAAGTCATTAATTTTCCTCAATTTAGCGAATAAAACCCTTAAAAAATACATATAGCATTTGGGAGAAATTTTTTTTTTCAGAAGGCGAGAATGATTTTTTGAAAAAAAATACACACCTGTTATTAGTTTCTTCTAAACTTGTTTTAATACAGGCGTGTCGTGGCTGTGCTACAAGAGAAATAATAAAAACTAAAAAATGTTGGGTTTGTTCCACCTCGCAAACAACCAAACAGCTCAACAATGACGAAACTCTTCGCATGCGAATTGAAGAGTTTAAAAAAATGGCGCTAGACGAAAAATCCAGAACGAAATCCTCCAACCAGGCCCGGAGCACGTTGAAAAAATCCGCAACGGCGGTTGAACTGACTAAATCTGTCAATGCCTTCCCACCGAAAATCCCGGAAAATCCAGCAACTCCTAAACCTGGCAGGAGCAAATCCAGATCAAGATTAAACAATCTTAACACTCAGTCCGTTAGTGTTCTGCCTACTGCCAAGAGAAATGAGTTCAAAGACATAGATAAGGAGGTCAGGGACGGAGATGAGGAGGTCAAAGATGGAGATGAGATTGTCCATACACCTAGGCGCAGTAGGTCTAAATCTTCAACGCGATTAAGAGCTCCGACAGGTAGGATTTAAGTCTCAAGGGACGAGATTTTCAAATTGATAAGCAAACTTAAAATATAAGTTAGCTATCTATAGTTGATATATCTATAATATACATTAATATTCATATAAATATTTTTCATCAAACATTAAAAATGTTGAGACTTTATGCGAAATATCGATAAAACAAACCTTTTTCAAATATATTTTCAGCCATGGAAGTAATATCAACTGTGGAAGATGTTAAAGTTAAAGGTATATTACTTTTATTATGATAAAATCTTATATAAAAAAATACGTGTCAATTTACCATTTTTTTTTTTATTTTAGAAGTAAAGCCAAGAAATCGCTCTAAATCCGTCTCCAATCTGAGAAAACAAGAATTAGATGTTATTAACGCAAACAATCAAATAAACGGAAATCAACCTAATCCCACGGAACTAGTCAAAACATTGCTAAAAAATCCGCCACCGGAAAACGGAAGTAATAATGTAAAATCCACCAATGAAACCAAAAATCCGCCAATAAATGGTTTCCAAAATGGCGGATCGACCAATCCTCTGGGCACGTGGGAAAGTCACACAGCGGATACACATGTTAGTGTCAATGATGAGAATATTGCGCCGGATAGAACTCCTACAGCCCCCAGATCAATGTCAAGGTAAGAGTATTTTTGGGAAGATATGTATACCTTTTTTTCCAGTAAAATCATCCAGTTGAATTATTTTTAAATGTATTATCCAACCCAGTGCTTAGGATCCAGATCCAAGGTGTAAAATATTGCAAAAAAACCTTTTTTACTTCTAAAACCGAAATCTGAACTTTTGTAAAAAGAGAGATTATAAAAATTAAACCAAAAAATTTGAAAATTATTTTTTGTTAAAAAAATTCAGTAAATCTAAAAGAAATGACCTGGATCCAGAGCGGATCCAGGATTCGAATCCTGATCCGCATCAAAATTAAATGAATTCTAACCCATACCAATCATTGGATTATTTCACTCAAAAATTAATCACTTAATTAAAGTCATGCTTATTTGATTATGGATTTTTTATCGGTTGATTGATTAGAAAATCAGGCATTTGCCATTTGTTGTTGTGCGCAATGTCCCGTAAAATTCCAAAACAGAGAGAGGGGGATTGAATTTTGTAGATCCAGAAAAATAATATCTGTGGGATGCCTGCGTAGAGACTAGTGGGTTCTTAAATGTAAGACATGTGGCCGCAGCTCTCGGCCCCCTAGCTGCAGCGCTCGGCCCAGAAAGTGTCATAAATTAACCTAACCCGTGGCCGCAGCGCTCGGCCCCATAGCCTGTCCTAGCCGCAGCGCTCGGCCCGGAAAGTGTCTTAACCTAACCTAACCCTAATGAATACTAATTTAATTATTTTTCTGGATCTACAAAATTCAATCCCCCTATCTCTGTTTTGGAATTTTACGGGGCATTGCGCACAACAGAAAATGCCAAATCCCGGAAAATCACCTTTTAAAAAATCAATTATCCAGTGCTTTCAAAAAGAATCAATTTTATTGTTCTGAACCAATTTGATTTAAAAATAATTTTTGAATGCTTAAAGGGACTGTAAGCGTACTTTCATGTGACCTTCCATTTATAGAGAGGAATGTCCAAACTCTGATTTACAACGGTATTCTTTATACAATTGTCCGGCCAACGATGAGGTAAATACCCTTATTCGTATAGCTGAATATTGAGTGCGGGTTGCCGGGAGTCTCGAGGTTACAGTGTACACTGTACTATTCGTGCTAGTGTACACTCGCGCAGTTATTTGGCACTTATTTCTCGCTATATAAATAATATCTACCAAATCCTTGATATAGCAAAAGTTTAAAGGATATCGTTGTAAATCGGACATGCCACTATGAATTAAAGGTCACTGGAAATTATGATTACAGTTCTTTAAATCTTGTTTTAGATTCTCTGGTGTATCCCGTCTTAAGAAGGTTGGCGAAGAGAAAGCTAGTGCTAGGGGAAGAAATAAGAAACTAGATATTCTTACTCAAGGTTATTCTTTTTTGCTTTGATTTTTTCGTTAGTTTTAACCGCCTATAACATTGACCCCTCCTTTTTTAGTTAAATTATTATAATTAAATTTTTTTTAGAAAATACCCAAAGAAACGGTCAGCTTGACATGCTCCCACTATACACACCTGAAACATTAAGTACAAACTGGAGCTCTGCTTACATTGCACAGCCAAGATCTGAAATTAGAAATCCTCGAGATGAATCTCAAAATCCGCGAGATGAAAATAAAAATCCACAAGATGAAAGTACAAATTTACGTGCTCCTTTGGAGTTCGTGACACCCAAGTCTATTTGTCGAGGACGGGGAGGTCGGGATCGGAGGATAGGATGGAGCGAAGTCAACATTTACTATTTCAATAGAACCCAGGGGTTCTCCAGTGTGCCCAGGTAGAATAGTCAAGGGCGTACACAGAAAGAAATATAGTGGGGTCAAATATGTGCACAGGCAGAAAAAAAACAGCAAGCTTATTTTTTATGTTCTTCACTCATCAGTTTAAGGTTTTAAAACTGTGATATCTCCCCCCCACCCCTTTACAGGATTCAGGAAGGATTCGGATCGGTGATTCTAACTTGAACGGAACGGCGATAGAGAGTTCAGTAACCCTTCAAATTCAATAAATTCTGTCCCAGAGTAAACATTGTGCACTGTGTAGTGTAACTTAAAAACATACACATCTTCTGGGACACAAAAAAAATTAATTTTCAAGAAAATTTATACTGCACCTATGAATCGTAAAATTTGCCTTACATCTCTGCCAAAAAGGGGGGGGGTTTTCGTCGTAAAGTTAAAATATTGTAATGAAAATGGACTCATATTTAAGTGTTGAACTGCTAAATAACAAAATAATATTAAGGATGAATTTGTTAAAAATAAGGTTAAAATGGGATGATTGATTCACCCACCCTTGAACCACTAACAATTATCAATTAAAGGGCTGTAAGCGTAATTTCAAGTGACCCTCAATGCAAAGATGGGAATGCCCGATTTACAACAGTACCCTTAGAATCCTAAAAATGATCCAAAATATTGAAGATACCGTCGTTCTTCTGTCTGTGAGTTTCTCCATTGATTCTTATTATAAACAAGAGATGCGCAAGGCACTGTTGGAGATAAACTGCAAATGAAAATAAACATTTTAAAGGAAAAATTCATTGATATCTAATTTATACTTGATCAGAGAGCTTCAAGGGTCCCGTTGTAAATCTAGTAGTGCCATCTTCTCATGAAGGGTCACTTTAAATTACGCTTACAGTCCCTTTAATCACACTTGTGTGTTTTGTTTAGAGATGGTGGAAATACCTTGGGGATGGAGATTAGACATTCAGATTTCAAGTCCTGGAATATTCAAGGAAAATATTTAATCTCCATTGATGGTCATTATCATTTAATCTCTTTTGATGATCATTATCATTTAATCTTTATTGATGGTTATTATAATTTAATCTCCATTGCTGATCATTATTATTTAATCTCCGTTGATGATCATTATCATTTAAACTCTATTGACGATCATTATCATTTAATCTCTATTAATAATCGTTATCATTTAATCTCTATTGATAATCAATATCATTTAATCTCTATTGATAATCATTATCATTTAATCTCTATTGATAATCATTATCATTTAATCTCATTGATAATCATAATCATTTAATATCTATTAATTATCATTATTATTCAATCTGCATTGATGATCATTATTATTTAATCTCTTTTGATAATCATTATCATTTAATCTCTATTGATAATCATAATTATTTAATCTCATTGATAATCATTATCATTTAATCTCTATTGCTAATCATTATCATTTAATCTCATTGATAATCATTATCATTTAATATCTATTAATTATCATTATCATTCAATCGGCATTTATGATCATTATTATTTAATCTCAATTGATAATCATTATCATTTAATCTCTATTGATAATCATAATAATTTAATCTCATTGATAATCATTATCATTTAATNTCGATTTTTCCTATTTGAAGAACTGCTGCTGACACCGCAGATAATTTGCGAGATTTTCTGCTTTTTTGTGTCCGTAAATTATTAGTTAAAATAAATAGCTAAATACAATTGAAGATTAAATTCCCTCAAGGTGACTCGGATCCGCACGTAAAACGAAAACTCTTTGATCCTACCGCTAATCCTACAAATGCCGAAGATCTTACCTCATCCGCTGATCCTTTAGTCACTAATCCTTTACCAGCTTGTGATCCATCTCGAGATTATATATCAACCTCCGTCTCGATGCTATCTTCCTTTCATCTTCAGCCTAACACCACCACCTCCTCCCTGTGCCTCTATCCGTCCACCTCCTCCTTCCATCTCCAGCCTAGCTCCACAACCTCTTCCTTCCATGTTCAATCCTCAACTAACTCCTCCTCCCTCCGCTCCTATCCTTCCACTACTAGCTTTACCAAAGTGCACAGCTGTCCCTCACACCTTTCCTCCGTTCCTCTCATCTCCCTGGATGAGGAGGATGAAGAGATCTCGTTCAAGTCTCCTGTGAAGGGTGTGGAGGCGGTTAGTTTCTATGCTCCCAGTTTTATTGTTACTCCGGGACGTGATACTGCTCTAGATTCTTTACCTCATCTTGGGACTGAACCCGCTCTTGAATCTGATATTTCAAAGCCAGGCGGAGCAGACCCAGTAACTTGTAAACAAATAAATGTAAGTTTATCTCTTTCTTTACATCTGGGATGAGGTCAAGACTGAAATTAATAAAGATACCGCCAGATCTGTAATCTGAATTATAATTTTGATCTGGAAATATTTTGTTTGTGTGTGTTGGAGAGGTATAAAAGATGTATCATGATGAAGATTTAAATCTTTCCAATGCGCCCGCACACAACCAGTTCTAAATCTATAAATAACTAGCTTGGGAACCCAGCGTTGCCTAGGGTAGTCAATGTTAGTCCCACCGTTTACCCACAATTTGTCGTAAATTAAAATTTTAGCCATTTTTCCTCTTTAAGTCGAACCGCTCAATTAAGAATCCCAAAACCAAGCTAATAACATTCCCGTGGATCTCCCAAGTTACCCAATCAAAATTTGAGACAAATCGGTCCAGAGATTCATGAGTTATGATCGGAAAAACAAACAGACAGAAAGACACGCAGAGATTACAATATTGTATATATAGATAAAATTATTAAAATCCTTAATGCAGGTACCTGAACATGATAAACCTTCTTCACCCTTTAAACGCAGTCTTAGTCGAAGCTATAGTGAAGATACGCTTCTATTCTCCGCCTCTTCGGAGCGGCGGAAGAGTATCTCCCAGGATCCGCCCAGGAAAGCACATAAACCCTCAACAAGGTGATAATTATTATAGCCAAATTGTATATTTGCCATTTATGTTAGTCGTGAGCATATTCAGAAAATAATTAAAAATATTATTTTCAAAAATACAATATTTTACGTTATCTCCTCTTCTTATCAATCTCAAGATTAATTTAATCTTTAGTTTGTATCCTGAAATGTGTATAAGATTCAATTAATAGAGTCCCAAACCGCCAATCAGAAGCGGGGAAATTCGCAACTTTTAATGAGAAAACTCTACAAAGAGAAAAGAGTGAATTAAGCAGGAAAATAAAAGTGTCCACATTGAATATTCAGATTAAGCGATCGGGATTAAGGGTATCCAATTCTGAAGTTCTCAGCTCAGAATGGTTTTTATCTGAACCGTTCCTTGAGCCTGTCTCTCATTGACCATTATTTGTTTAGTGTTAACTTTGCAAATTCTTAAGTTTTAGTTTTTAGGATATAAAGTGAAAAGTCTCGGCTTTTTCTTAACCAAAAGTTCCAAACTACGATTGAACTAACTGTTTTTTTTTCGTTTAGACTGAAAGACCAAGTTGAGATGGATGCCCAACCTCTGGAGGGAGGAGGAGACACACCCAACCTCCAAATCAATCGATCCTCCTTCAAACCTCCATCTGATCCCTCCAAAGATTTAACTAACACTACAGTACCTGAAAGCCCCCTCATGCCTCCAAACCCCTTCACAGCTTCCTCCAAACCTACTTTGACCTCCTCCCAGTCCACCCTGACCTTGACCCCCGTGAAGAGTTTGACCTCTATGAGGTCAAGTCCTAGTATAGGGCTCGGGAAAGGTGGAAGGGTGGTTAAAGCGGCTAAACCTGATTTTCTACGAAAAGCAACTCTGAAAACTTGTCATGAGAAAGGTATTTTTTTTATAGAATAAGAACTAATTATTCTGTCAACCTAAACTGAAACCTCTGAAACTTGTTTCGTTTTGATAAGATGCCTTGTATCTGTTTCATGTTTGATCAGACTCCTTGTATCTAGCTGTTTCATGTTTGATCAGACTCCTTGTATCTGTTTCATGTTTGATTAGATGCCTTGTATCTGTTTCATGTTTGATCAGACTCCTTGTATCTGTTTCATGTTTGACTGATTAGACTCCTTGTATCTGTTTCATGTTTGACTGATTAGACTCCTTGTATCTGTTTCATGTTTGACTGATTAGACTCCTTGTATCTGTTTCATGTTTGACTGATTAGACTCCTTGTATCTGTTTCATGTTTGATTAGACTCCTTGTATCTGTTTAATGTTTGATTAGACTCCTTGTATCTGTTTCATGCTTTATTATACTTCTTGTATCTTTTTCATGGTTGAGTAGACTCCTTGTATATGTTTAATATTTGATTAGACTCCTTGTATCTGTTTAATGTTTGAGTAGACTCCTTGTATCTTTTTCATGTTTGATTAGATGCCTTGTATCTCTTGTATCTGTTTCATGGTTGATTACTCCTTGTATCTGTTTCATGTTTGATTAGATGCCTTGTATCTGTTTCATGGTTGATTAGACTCCTTGTATCTGTTTCATGTTTGACTGATTAGACTCCTTGTATCTGTTTCATGTTTGATTGTACTTCTTTTATCTGTTTAATGTTTGATTAGATGCCTTGTAACTGTTAAATGTTTGATTAGACTCCTTGTATCTGTTTCATGTTTGATTATACTTCTTGTACCTGTTTAATGTTTAATTTTAAATTGATAATTTATTTGTGCAGAAAAATTACAAAGCACATGAAATATCTCAACATATATTTTTGTTCAGGTTTGGTTCGGTTTACCCGATCTAGTGTTGATTTAAAACAAGAGCTAGACATTCCAGGTTTATTTAAAGCATTTTTTCATCCTTCTCAATATATTTACATTCTTCATTCTTGTTTCTTTCTAACTCATATTCTTATCAGCATATATCAGCATATCATTATCTTATAAGCATTGCACTTCATATTTTATAATAATTTATCTAATTTTGCAATTTTTTTAACTTTTTATTTTAAATTTTTTTATCATTTAAGGTGGGAGCAAGTTAGAAAAACCGGATAAAAAACTAAACAAATCAATTTCAAGAAACTGTCTTAGGTAACTTTTTTAATCTTTTCTGAGAAAATACTTTTTACTTTTAACAAAATCAAAGTAATAGTAAAACTTTTCTGGGTGACTCCAAAAATAGGAATTTTGTTTTCTTTTTATCGAAAATTTAGTGCTTTAGTTTATTTCTAAACTTTGGAAGGGGTCGTTTAGGTAAATTTCAGTTGTCCTCTCTTTCCATTTTATAGTGTAAAACTAAGTTTAAATATTCGAAAAACTCTCTTGTTAACCTCTAACCAAAAAATTTTAAGAAACATAAAAATCATAAGTTTTTATATCTGAACCCCCTTATGTGGCTTTCTGAAATCCAAGGTGTACAGTATAGTGTACTGTATATGAAAATTGAAAAGAGAGGTTGCAGCTCAGCGTCGCCCTATGTTCTAAAATGCTTTTTTGATGGACCTCAGGATCATTTCAATATTTTTTACTGGCACCAAATGGGGGGCCTCTTTGAGAAATAATTTAAAATATGAAAATTGTTATTATATTATTTTATTATTATTAAAATTATAAGCATATTTTTTTTCTTCACCATTGATTTGACTAGGACAAACATTATTAATAGTTCTTAAAGCTAGTTAAACGACATCTTCCAAAGGTAAAAAGTTAAATCTTGCTGTATTTTCGGGCCATACAACATATTTTTAGTGCTGAAACCCCCTAATCCTGGTTTTCCGTGTCACCCTGTAGATGGTTAAATGTATTTGTTAAAACGCAAGATAAGAAAACAAAGATATTAAAATTTCTCTTCCTTAAAGGGACTTTAAAAGAAAAATGGTAGGGGGTATAGCTGATCACTTTAGCTCTTGATTGCGATCCATGAAAGTTATATCTGATGTTCCTGTCTCAAGAAATTGATATAAAACTGTGTCAAATTTATACAAAAATTCATATATATTTATACAATTTTATATAGAAATAGTAGGTTTAAACAGGTCATATTCTGCAAATATGCAACCAATATGAAAACGAAGATATCCCAGAGAAACCTAATTTTAACTTAGGTTTTCGCCAAATATTATTTTATAATTTTTTATGAATGATCAAAATTTCAAATATTTGTCTCCATCAAAATTCTATCTTCATTAAATTTTTGAAAATTTTGAAAATCCACGAAATTTTTTGTGAAAATCCGCGAATTATTTTTGTTTTGTTTTACGATGTACACAAAGAGAACATGTTCACAATTAATGTAGAAGATGGGCGCGAAGCGCCCTTATAAGGCTAGTTATCTTAAATTGTTGGTTAGAAATATCTGATTTTACGTTTAAGAAAATATAAAATCCGCGAAAACTTCAGTAAAATCCGCAAATTTAATTTTCGGCCAGGAATGTTTAAATCATATATGGTAGGCTGTCAGAAAATGATGTAAGCAACTTTTCCTTTAATTCTTCAAGGAAAATAGGTAACTTTTTGTTAAATTTTATATTTTTGTTTACATTAGATCTTTCCGTGAATACCATTTGTCCCCTCCTTCTGTAAAAGAGAGTGTCGGAGAATCCATGTTGACTCCTGATATGCTTTCATCCTCTTCCTCAGTATTCAGGTTGGTGAATGTTTTTAATTAAACCATTCATAAATATTTTTTGATATCATTTCTTTACATTTGGGTTGCGATTAAATTTGTTCAAACTTCAATTATTGGCATTTATTGGTCTGTTTTGTCATCCTACTTTATTCTGAAATAAAATATTCAAGATATTTAGGTGGATCCGAATTTGAACTACTGCCGTTTGAACTATTGATCATTTGAACTATTGATCGTTTGAACTATTGTTCATTAAACTTCTGATAATGACGTCATTTCCTGTAGTTCAAACAACACATTATTTACTCATTTGAACTATTAAATATGCAGTTTCAAATTTTTATATTTCATGAAAAAATATAGGTCAAACAATCATTACAAAATAGTTTAAATGATCAAAAAATATTTCACCATAGACATAATAATAGTTCAAATAAGCAAAAAAAAATAATTCAAATGAGCAAAAAAATAGTTCAAATAAGCAAAAAAAATAGCTCAAATGAGCAAAAAAAAAGTTTCAACAAAATTAGTATATATTTAGGGTTAGGTTAGGTTAAGACACTTTCTGGGCCGAGCGCTGCGTCTACGGCAGTCTAGGGGGCCGAGCGCTGCGGCTACGACAGGCTAGGGGGCCGAGCGCTGCGGCTACGACAGGCTAGGGGCCGAGCGCCGCGGCTAGGACAGGCAAGGGGTCAGGGCGCTGCGGCCACATGACCAACTTTATCCATGTGTTAAATATGAGATGCTCGAGTTGCCAACTATTTTTTGCTCATTTGAACTATTCTTTGACCCATTTTAGCTATTTTCTTTGCTCGAATGAACTATTATTTTGCACAATTGAACTATTTTTTTTGGCTCCTTTGAACTATTTTTTGGCCATTTAAACTATGTTTTTGCTCGTATGATTTTTTTTTGTTCATTGAACTATATTTTTGCCCATTTGAACTTTTTTTTGGCTCGTTCGAACTATATTTTTTCTGATGCAATATTTTTTGGCTCATTTGAACTATTTTTGCTCATTTGAACTATTTATTTTGCTTATTTGAACTATTTATTTTGCTTATTTGAACTATTTTTGGCTCATTTAAACTATTTTTTGATCATTTAAATTATTATTTGGCTCATTTAAATTATTTTTTGGCTCATTTGAACTTTTTTTTGGCTCATTTGAACTATTTTTTGGCTCATTTTGAATTATTTTTATTATTAGTTCAAATGAGCAACAACTAGTTCAAATGCTCACAGACTGTTATCGTTTAAACTACTACACGTGGTACCACGTGCAATAGTTCAAGCGACCAATAGTTCAAAAAGTCAATAGTTCAACGGCAGTAGTTCAAACTAAATAGCATCGATATTTTTATTTACATATCTGTTTATCTATCTATCTATCTATCTATGTAGATGTGTAGAGGAAAAGATTGATGAGCCTGTATCTCCAGCTAAGGGAGAGTGTGGAACCCGAGGTTTAACCCCTCTAACCAACAGGTAAAAGAGTAAATGGTCCCTTTATCACGTGATCTTATCGTCTGTACACTCGGTCACAGATTGTTAAAAGAATCGTAGAAATATCGTCTTTCTTTCTAGGAATCCCTTTAAACACTTTTCAGTTCTAATTCTTACAGGAAATTGAATCAAGTAATAATAATTGAGATGAGACCAAAAAGATCCGGGGGTTCATATAATTCCATTTCTGATCCCAAATGCGTTTGCGGTTGAAAGTACATTTTACAGCATCGAAACACACTTTCTGTGTCATTGTGAACTTTGGCACGTTTGTTGTGTACGTGTACTACACTTGAGAATAAATATCAGTGGTCAATATATCGGATAAATTATGATATACACAAAAATAAACACTCCCTTGCCGTATTAATTCTTCAGTATGGAATTTTTTCCTCAACTTTACTTCATAATTCAGTCTGTTTAAATAACAACATGGATAATTTCTGCCCCTAATTATATGAAAGATTGGGATTCTTGAGATTAATGTTTACAATAATTCTAACAACTAAGAAAGTTATGACAGTTGAAAAGCCGACATTTTTGGAAGACAGACTACAGATTGATTATAGATGTGAACTGTTCTAAAAATATTGTGGTGTAGGATGCGTATCTGCCTGCTGAAGGCGAATGGTGTATCCGTCCTGGACAAGGCGGAGGCCGAGGAAGTTAAACTTCTCCGTGAGAGTAGGGAGAAGTGTGGCTGCCGCTGTCAAGGTAATACCTCTCGGAAGTTATTAAAGGAAGTGTTCGCGAAAAAATGAAAGGCGATCCATAATTGAATTCGGTTTTGATCTCTAGTAATTTTACTTCTATCTGTTGCGTTATAAGTAGAAATGGTTTAAACGGCTCCTACCCAAGAGCGTAGAACCCATATAAAATAAAATATATAAAACAGAATTGCATTATTTTACCCAAACCGAACATACGTCAATTACATTTAATTCGAGACAATCGCATGTAGTTAATTTTTCGTCTTATTCATGGAGACTTCGTACAACATTTCAGCCTCCTATCTCAATTTTAAGGACCAAACGCAGCCTCTACAAAATTTGGTGTCAAAAAGTGTCACATTCTCTCCCCCCTCCCCCACGCCCTTTCCCCCTTTATCTTTTATGTAAATATGTTCTTTTTAAAGAATCTGAACCCTTGAAACAAACTCAAATTTTCTAATCCACATGTCTATGTAACCTGAAATAAAAATACCCTTGGACTTTTTGATATAGCAGAATTTTAGTTTGTAATATCAAAGGTCAACGCCATCAGGTTGCAAAGATTTATTATTAAGGAAATAATAGTTTTGTGGGAAGGATATCAGTTCCTCTGCCAAATGATTAATGGAAAAAAATCAATTTTCTAAAATAATAAATATAAAAATAGTAATTTCTGTTAGCTATTGTTTGTTTGCATGTCATGGCTTGACAGATTTGCCTCGAAGTTAGTATTCCAGGCAAAATAAAATGTCTAAAATAATGAAATCGTAAATTTATACAGAATTATATAGAATTGTCTAATGTTTAGGTGTGTGTGTAGAGGGTAGCTGTAGCTGTATAGATAACGATATAGAGTGTCAAAGTGAGAGACCTGGGTTTCCTTGTAGCTGTGCTCACAAGAACTGTGGAAACCCACAAGGACACAGGGTTTATGATAAGTGAGTATTTGGTTTATTTCACCACCAACCGAATTTAATGAATTGGAAAGAGCTCGCTGAACCACCGATTTAACTTTGAGAGGTCGCGGAACCATATATTTAACTAAATGAGAGCTCGCTAAACCATCTATTTAACATTGAGAGCTCGCTACCATCTATTTAACTTTGAGAGGTCGCTGAACCATCTATTTAACTTTGAGAGGTCGCTGAACCATCTATTTAACTTTGAGAGGTCGTTGAACCATCTATTTAACTTTGAGAGGTCGCGGAACCATCTATTTAACTAAATGAGAGCTCGCTGAACCATCTATTTATCATTGAGAGCTCGCTGAACCATCTATTTAACTTTGAAAACTCGCTGAACCATCTATTTAACTTTGAGAGGTCGCTGAACCATCTATTTAACTTTGAGAGGTCGCTGAACCATCTATTTTACTTTGAGAGGTCGCTGAACCATCTATTTAACTTTGAGAGTTCGCTGAACCATCTATTTTAACTTTGAGAGTTCGCTGAGGATCTAGCGACCACCCCAATTAATTAACATTGGTCCCAGAGAGCTAGTCGTTTCAAAGAATAAAAGAATTCAAGTAAACCTTGAACACTAATGGAAAGTTAAAAAATAGTTATGAATAAAATAAACTAGATGAAAATCTGATTCCGTTTTCTTTAATTTGAAGTCTTGATTGAGCATTCAACTCAACAGATTTCCTATTATTCAAATCGTTAAAAAACCATACTGCAGTAGATACAGGGTTAACCACGAAGGATGAGACTGTAAAGACGACTTAAAATTCTTCAAACATGACAATCACAAGTTCATATTAAGTTTTCTGTCATGAATGAAATCTTTAAATGGCTTAAATAAATTATTTTGCAACAAAAGAAGGTTTTTTATGGTTACAGAGCTGAAAACTTTAGAATGGGATATTCTTAATCCCGATCGGTTAATTAATCCTGAGATTAATAACAAGATGAGAACAAGCATTATTTAATCTTGAGATTAAGAAAAAGAGGAGATCAGCATTGATCTCGATATCCACCATTCTAAAGTTTTCAGCTCAGGAAATCGTGAATATCAGGAAACAGACAGTATAGATTTCGTCCAGTCGTCTCTGAAGTCTCATCCTTTGTGGGAAATCCTTTATTTTCCCACTTGGATCCGGATCCGGTTCCTAAAATCAAGAGAGCCGAAGTATTGCAGATTCGGATCCGGATCTTAAAGACTAGTAAATTAATCTTATCAGACTTATTCCATCTACAAGATTAGAAATTGCTTTAATCGTTAAATACAGTCTATCATGTTTCTGTATTCTGTATATTTGTATGTTTAGGACTGAGGTTGAACTCCACTACATCCAGACTATCATGAGTGTTCAGGGAGCAATGAATATATCAGGAGAAGATCATCATTAACTCATAGATCAAGATTAGATTAATCTATCTCTCGGTCCATGGGATGAAGAACCTTAAAAATCAATATCTTTATACGAATATCAAGACAATGTCGAGGAATATCAAAAGATCAAGATCATGTACTTAAAAAGATCAATAATCACTTATCATCGAAGTCAGAAGATTTAACTCAACCTTTTAGATAGTTGAACTTGTCAATTCAACCTTTTAGATAGTTGAACTTGTCAATTCAACCTTTTAGATAGTTGAACTTGTCAATTCAACCTTTTAGATAGTTAAACTTGTCAATTCAACCTTTTAGATAGTTGAACTTGTTAATTCAATAATTATGAATCTTGACAACTGTTCAATTTAGTTTAAGTATTTGCTGTTCTATATTTATGTTTATTTATGTAATTATTTTAATCTTAAGCACACTTTTCTGTACAATGTACAATGTACATAAGACCTGTTATGTACAAAGAACATACGATCTTTTATGTAATTCTGCACTATGTAAAATATGCACTCTTTATTTTGTAATTTTCATAAATTCCAGTTTTAGGCTTTATTAATTATAATTCAATAGGTGTAATACAAGTTATTTGTTGATATAAAATCTCAGCTGTATGTTTAGTTTTTGTTGTTGTTGTGCGTTCTCCTTGATTAAAAATAAAAAAATATTTTTATTTTTATTTATTTCTTGTTTATCTGTGAATGGTTCATTAATCGTTAATTTCCTGAATACCACATCTTATCATTAATCTATATATATATATTCTAAATTTGGGCTTCTTTTGTTTGTTTGCATATCCAATAAGCGTTTAAAACAGCTGAACGGCCTGAATTTATTGTTGAAAATATTTCATAAACATGATAGAATTTTGTGTAGGCCCCAGGAAAGGGCTGGCGTGACACCAAATTTCTTGCTACCTCTTCTCTCATAAAATTAAACAGAAAGAAAAACTTGTGCATGCTTAAACCTTGCCAACCACCACTAAAACCTAATAATTATAAGTACATGGTCTAAACAATTGATTGGGTGGACTTATTGATTGCAAGGGACCTTCCTTGCAAAGATGTCAATGCACGATTCTCAACTGTACCCTTGGAATCTTTATCTGATCAATAATAATGGGACCAGTGCTCCCTGCTTTTCGAAAGAAAATATTTTTAAATTGTATTACTAAGGTGAGATGTTGGATGTGCATCAGCCTTGCCACTGGGCTGCTATACAGTATTCATGAATTCTTTTTATTGCATAGTTTTTTATTTTGTCTAATTTTCAAAGCTAATTTTTTTTTTAATTTACACGTTTCATTTTTATTCTATCCCATTATAAAGCTTGGTAAATAACCACTGCTACCCTAGGATGATCATTTTAGGTATTTTATCTGATAGTTCAAAGAAGGATTTTTCTTGCCATGGTTCATTGGATCCATAATTTACCAGATTCTTAATTCAAAATAGAACTGGAATGTATATGTATAGCATTAGCAGTAACCCGTCCATAGGCTGATAATGAAGGATTCTTCTAAGGCGACTAAGGCCTGCTACGAAAGTAGAACCTAACCATTTCAAAATAATCAGTTTTCAAAATTATAAATGTTTATATCTAATTTGGAGCTACTTGAATAGACAAAGCTTTCAAGAGTACCGTTGTGAATGAAGCATTGCCTTATATATTGATGGGGGGCCGGTCAAATGAAATTATGCTTACATTCCCTTTAAAAATAATCTATATATATCTTTTTGGGTTGGTAAGGATTTCATAGATATGTAAGAATATGGTAGAATGATAGATAAATGGGTACATAGATAGAAAGATAGGCATTTCTAAACCTAAACCTATGGTCACCCTATTCAACTGTCAGTGTATAGAAGTGGTTTGGGTGCAGAGCTCAATACTGTTTCTACCTTGAAGACTCCTGTCTACTATATACTGCATATACGCAATACGCATAGTTCATTTTGTATAATCCTCACCCACAAAATGTGTTGGTATAGGATCGTTTTTTTTTCATGGAAAATAAATTAAAATTTAAAAAATTATCCAAAAAAATTCATTCATTTTGCTTCATTCTTTTAGGAAAACTAACATATTTTCTTTCTTTTAAGAAAAGGTAGGAGAAAAAATGGAAAATAATTCAACCCGAAGCTATATATCTCCACAAGATAGGGTAGGTTTATGATATTGTTCTTATATACAGTCTGTTCGTTTATTTGTATATCAGATCATATATAACTTTTGAAACTCTTGACCGATTTGCCTCAATTTTTAATTTAAACTTTTAAATGTCAAATGATGTTGCAATAAGATAAAAACAAGGTATTATTCCAACTATTTAAATCGACTGATGTTGTATTTTTTAAGTGACGCGCCATTTAAAGGGACCGTTCACTTATTTGGGTAATTTCATCGTAAACTAAACAGCCTATTAGCTGTTAATTGGTATTATCTTACTTTTCAAAGACAACTGTGGCCGGAGAAAAAGCCGATTTTTCGTTGAGAATTCGAGCGCATAGAAAAGGTCCCTTTGTCTGAAATGCGCTAAAAAAGTTAGAAATAAAAAGTTAAAAAAAATTTTGAAAAAAAATTACAATTAACTATTAGATACTACAGTTTAATTTTATATTTTAAATTTTTTTTAATTCCATGACATATAGACAAAAACATCAAATAGTGTCTAGGCAAAGGTATCATACCTTTGCGCTGAAATTCTGAACAATAATCGGGTTTTTCTCCGGCAATGGATGTCTTCGAAAAGTAAGACCAATACCAATCAACAGCTAATAAGCTATTTAGTTTACCATGAAATTACTCAAAAAAGTGAACGGTCCCTTTAAAGAGGACGATTCACAACTGTACCTTTCTGCACCTAACTGTACCCTTTAACCCCTTAACTGATCAATATTTTGAAGAAAATGTTGTTTTAAATTTAAATTCATATCAGGGTCATTTGAAATTACGTTTACAGTCCCTTTGAAAGACGACATTGTTTATGTTGTTTATAGATGAATACTGATTTGATGGTGATGGGAGGGGTTGCATCAGTTTGTATAATTCTGTTCTTAATCTACATCATCTTCTCTAAAAGAGAGGTAACAGATTTTTTCTTGTTTTGGTTTGTCTGCGGTGGTACATATAATACTGTGGAATAAGAAGACGAGATTTAAAATATCCTGTCACATCAATCTCTCTAGAATGGGTATTATGTACTGTTCCGTTTTCCATTGTACAGGGTTACCCACAAAGGATGAGACTCCAAAATTAGAAAAATTAGAGGGTTTAAAGCTTGATTTTTGGTTTTTGCATCTAATTAAGTAATTAGATGGTTTTCTAAATGATGAAGCTCAAAAATGAGCCAGTTGTAGCCTACAAGGAACCCCTAAACGCTATGAAAACGGACTGAACAATTTCTTACAATCGTCTATGTATCTTCTGTAGAGTATTACAGCCTAAAAATCTGTTCGGTACTTCAAATGAACTGACGTTTTCAGTCTTATGTTTGTTTGATGTAGAAAGCAAATAGTTTTATCAGAAGAATAAAAATAAAAAAATTATTATATGTACACTCGATCATCTTTTTGCACTTTCTATTTTACAGATCCTCCTGCATTTCAGGTCTTCAGATTTATCACATTTTATATTTGCCCATTTGTAACAAAGGTTGATCTTTTATTTTACTGTTAAGGACTATTTTTAATTTTTTTCAAATTGGCTTTTTCGACATTAATTCCAAATTTAAACTTACAGACGAACATATTAGATTTAAAGTAAAAATTTTTGTATATTTCTTAAAAATACTTAAAACTCATCTTACAGCAATGTTTCAATAATTTTGGTTTTTTAGAGTATTTTTATATCTATAGCTCAACCTGAGGAAATTACTATTTATTAACTATTTTTGAGAAAATATTTAATTTTTTTCAGAAAAAAATTGATAATTTTAAGAAAACAGTGCTCATGAAAACATTTGACAGTATACTTTTAAGACAGTGGCTTAAAAAATGGCTAAACATCAAAAAAAAAGAAGAAAAAATTTCAGAAATCAATCCATTTAATCTGAGAAATTTAATTTAGAGAAAAAAACAGATAAAAAAGAAGAAACAAGAAGAAGAAGACAATCTATATAACTAGTTTTAAATAATAGTTCATCGAAGAAAAAATAAAATTAGAAATGATTTAGATATTTTATTTTTAAACAATGTGTATTTATCTTTGTTTTTAGTTTTTTTAAATTCCACGGGCAACGCCGGACGCAAAAATCTTAGCTAAGAACCAAGCGCGGGTAAACGGCGGGAGTAACTATGAGTAACCTGGACAACGCCGTTCATTTCAGTATAGTTTCTGATAATTCCAACATATCATCCTGCTGTAGAAATGCACTGTAAAGTCACTTTTGTAGAGAAACCACAATTGAAAATAATCAGTTTATAAATTATGAACATTGATATCTCATTTATGCATTGATCTTACAAAGCTTTTGGTCAGTGAAAATCTCAAAGGCTTCACCATCAGGTTATCAAGATACGGGGATCAGTAAATTTGAAAAGTGTTCAGCTGATTTTTAACTCTTTCTAATATTAGTTGTTTATAATACTGTGTATAATGTAACCCGCATACATAAACTTGTTTATGAAGAATTAATAACAAAGGGCACTGAACTTCCTTTATTTTGTTCGTAATACAGGGGTCGGTGTTTTTATCAATACAATAGCGACGACTGTTCTATCTAAGTTTTGATTTATTACACTCCTTTTTCAATATCATTTTTTAAACCAAAAAGTAATTTGGTCTCAGGCTGTTGAAATTTTCTGACTTTTCTAAATATCCAAAGCCCTCCTTTTAGGATTAAACCTGGCTTTTATACTGACTGCCTGAGTCCTTAGGCACACTGTCTGAATGACTAATTTTTCCTGTAAACAACTGAATCTTTGCTTGAACCCACTTTCAGTTTTCAGATTTTGATAGTTTTTTTTGCTTTCTGGAAAGCCTATGACAAAAGGAAACGGATTGCACAATGTTTGCAAAGGAAGTTTTGCTAATTATTTGCATACAACCCGTCAAAAGAAATTTGCACATTTTTAGTTTTTCTTAATTAATGATCAGGTTATTTAAAATTTTGCAAACATTTTTGCATATTTGGAATGGCAAGGCCAAAGGCTTTTTGAAAATGTTTAAATTATCATGTTTTGGACTTTTTTCTTTGCAAAGATTTTTACTTTATAACTGGATTTTCAAAAATAAAATCCAATTTTTGCAAATTTGTATTTTTTTGTAGATTCTCAAAGTAGGGCATACGAGCTTTCCGATGATGTATAATTTGTCATATTTGGACATCAAACATGGGATTGCCCCCCCCCCCCCGCGTATTCTTGGGTTTTCGAGCAGGGTTAGGGTTAAAAACAAAATTATAAGAAATGTATAGAAATTCGGGGCTAGATGCTTGGCTATATTCGGCAAAGCAAAAACCACAATGATATAAATCTATAGATTGGATTCAGAACTATTTATTTATTTCAATTTATTTTTTTTCGATATTGTTCTGAAAAATATAATTAATGTTTTCAAATATTAATATTTTCCTATACAACTTCTCACCCACCCACCCCCAACCTGCCCCTTTATCATTAAACGTTGGAGAAGTCTAAGTTTTGTTGATTGGTTGTCATACAACACCTCCCCCCTCCCACTCCCCCTCCTTTAAGGTGTTCTATTTCTTTATTGTTGTCTCGGCCTCGAATAGTATAGTTATCCAAGAAATGTTCAGCTGGGAAGTGTAAACAGAAAAATGGGTCAGAAAAAAATTATTCTATTAAGTGATCACTTAAAAACCGAAAGTAACATCCAATTATGTTTCAAGATTTATTTATACAGTGAGATGAGAACCATAGTACTGTGGAAAAAAAAAGACGACATTAAAGCGATAAAGTGTATTTGATGTTACAAAGCAAAAGGTTTTACTAGTATAAACTTATAACAAATTATGGCTCAACTGCTGCGTCTCATGTTTTTTGGACTATTTGAAGTCATACTCATAACTTGAGTCTAAAAGTCGTCTTCCTATTCCAGAATTTTCTGGTTATTACTGTGTATAAGTAAAAATTGTGAGTTATCCCTCAATTTTGAACAAAACAGAAAGCAGAATGTAAGGGACATAACATTTTTTGAGATATATCTCACGTTCAGATCAAAATTTCAAACAATTGCTCGATGTTAGGTGTTTTAAAATAGAAGGCTCCAAAACAAACTTTTTCACAAAAAATATGATTGTTCTATGATCGCTAAAAAAAATAAGATTTAGGACTTTATTTTTAAAAAGTTTTAAATAAGATTAAATTTAAAATACAAAATAACGACAGTTGTCTTTTTATTTTGAAAAGTGTTTAATTCTCACGAGTTTCTTCATTGTCCCTTTGTTACCTGATGCAGATAAACCTCAATTAAAATCTATTAATTTTCAGCTAGAATGCCACATCACAAACATGGGAAGGTCAATTGAAACTACGACTTCAGTCCCTTTAAACGTATTTTAGTAGATATTGGAAAATGACGAAGAAAAAAAAATCTGGTGAAATCTGATGGCTACGAGTATTTACATTGTAAGAAAACTTTTTTATTTTTTATTTGACTTCTTCAAGCTTTATTTGAACAGTTGTACAAACCTAATTATTTATTAATGTCTATTGCACGTGGATTTAACGGTTCTGTCAATGTTTTCAGGAAGCTGTGACTTTCGATCACAATTTCACCCATTATACATAATTTTTCAGTCTTTTTTCTTAAATACTTTTTTGTCGGCATATACATTTTGAACAAAAAAATATAAAATAAACAAATCTGTAAGTTTATAGATTGTTGAATTATAGACCAAAACACGTTTGATTTCAAATAAAAGAAACCGCATGCTTCCCACTCTGGTTAGTCCGGGGTGATTTGCGACTCTCCTCAATACGAATTATTGTTTTAATATTTTCATTGGCCTATTATTAAAAAAATATCAATGGAAAATATAAATCTACAAAAATATCGATAAACTGAATAACTTGTTTTAGCACAGTTAAGTGTGTAAACTGTATTTTACAGAAAAATTGTTTTAATATTTTTATTTTCGTGGGATTTAAGATAAATCTTGAGGTTTATGCCAATTTTATGTTTTTTTTTTTTTGAGGATGTTCAACCAAATATTACATCAAAAATTTTACTTTTTCTGACAAAATATTAAAAAAAAATCTTTCCATATTGTATTTTTCTATATATATTTTGTCATTAAACATGTTCTTACAGATTAAAGCCGACGTTTTATAACGTGTCTTTATTCTTATGTCACCCTGTATTATTTTCTCTTAATTATTTTGTTCACAAAGAATACACACCTTGTATTTATAGTATCTTTATATTTATCAGAAATCCCCTGTATTATCAGGTTTATATAAACCCCCCTGTATCATCATGTTTAAATGAAACTCCCTGTATCATCATGTTTATACAAAATCCCATATATCATCATGTTTATACAAAACCCCCGTATTTTCATGTTTATATGAAACCCCGTGAATCATGTTTATATGACACCCCCTGTATCATCATGTTTATATGAAACCCCCTGTATATTTTCATGTTTATATGATACCCCCTGTATCATCATGTTTCTAAAAAACCCTCTGTATCATCATATTATATGAAACCCCCTGTATCATCATGTTTCTACAAACCCTCTGTATCATCATGTATAAATGAAACCCCCTGTATCATCATGTTAATATGAAACCCCCTTGTATCATCATGTTTATATGAAACCCGTGTATCATCATGTTAATATGAAACCCCCTGTATCATCATGTTTATATTAAACCCCCTGTATCATCATGTTTATATGAAACCCCCTGTATTTTCATGTTTATATGAAACCCCCTGTGTTTCATGTTTATATGAAACCCTCTGTATTTTCATGTGTATATGAAACCCCCTGTATCATCCTGTTTAAATGAAACCCCCTGTATCATAATGCTTATACAAAACCCCCTGTATTTTCATGTTTATATGAAACCCCCTGTATCATCATGTTTATATGAAACCCCCTGTATCATCATGTTTATATGAAACCCCCTGTATTTTCATATTTATATGACACCCCCTGTATCATCATGTTTATAAAAAAAAAACCTGTATCATCATGTTAATATGAAACCCCCTGTATCATCCTGTTTATATGAAACCCCCTGTATTTTCAGGTGTTCGGACTATGGCGTGTATTACATCTAGCTCCGTGCAGTATCATCAAAACTCTCATCATGTTGATTATATTGAGGAAAATCCAGTTTATACAATCATATGAAAAATTTATTTATAAATCAAACAATTATATATTAATGATTTAAAATCAGGGGGCGGAAACGTCATGTGTGTGTGTCTGTACCAAAAGAGTGTGTGTAAGGTTTACCGAACCGAAGGTGTTTACTGTAGGTTTATAAGAATCTCGGTATTTGTACAGTCTAGGAGAGTACATTTGTTTATTGTTAATTGTTTACTTAAAAATAAGTTTAATATACATTTAATATATTATTTATATATTTAAGTCAACACGTTATAGCTTAATTATAATCGACGACATTGTTCTGCAATTTCCTTGACTGCAAGTCATGTTGTGTGTCTGTGCCAAAAGAGTGTGTGTAAATTTTACCGAACTTGTCTGCAAAGGAGTGCGACTGGCTTTCTCACGGCAGACCAGCGCCATTTCCTTTCCCTTTATTCCTATTCCCTGTTTAAATTGTAAAAGAAAGTATAAAAAGGAAGAGTTGCATTGTTCCAGATAGAACATAGCCAAATTTTCTAGACAAAAGTTTTAAAGGTACCAATGTGGATCATTCTTAAATGGTTCACTTGACTTGATTGACTTGCTGTTGTTTTCCTTGCTTTTTTAGAAAATACCAAAAAATGGCGAACAAATTTATTAAAAGACTAAAAAATCTGTATTCTATTATTCCAAACTTTTTTTTCGATTTACTATTGTGCACCAATTTAAGAAAAATAAGATATCAAAACGCGTCATAAGTGTTAAATAAGTATTTTAAAATCAATATTTTTTATTGATTTTTCTACCTTTTCTCTCAACCACAAACTTTTTCTCTCCTCCACCATTCAGGTCGAAACTTCTGTATTGTATTTCGTAGGATTTCAGTGACATGTAAGCGTAATTTCAAGTGATCCTCATGCAAAGATAGCAATTTGTCTGATTAAAATCAGTACCCTTCATTTTCTGATCAATAATGTGGAAGATATTATTGTTTTTCTTTTTTTTAAGGTTTTTTTTTCTGATAATTTCTATATGTTATCCTGCAGTAGAAATGAGCAAGCCACTTTTGTAGAGAACCCACAATCGAAAATAACCAGTTTTCAAATTATAAACATTGATATTTAAATCATACTTGATCAGACAAAGCGTGTAGGGGTACCATTGGGAATCGGCCATTGCCATGTTGCATTGAGGGTCACTTGAAATTAAGGCTTACAGTCCCTTTAAGTTAATACCTTTAGGATATTTCTTAAGTCAGAATCATAAAAACTGAGAGATCGTGAAAACATGATTCAGCTGGTTTCTGCGGATTAAGCACTTAATCTCTGCAAATATGATTCAGCTGTTTTCTGCAGATTAAGCTAAATATGATTCAGCTGTTTACTGCGGATTAAGCTGAATATGATTCAGCTGTTTTCCGCAGATTAAGCTAAATATGAAAACTCTGAAACAGAATTAGACAATTTTTAGACTCAAGTTATAACTTTAAATTATACATTCCATGGAAGAAATTCAGCGCCAGAACATGTTTCGAAATTTATTATTTATATAATTTATAAAATAAACATAGTCCAATAAACATTGTGAAATTGGTCTCAGTTCCGTTCTTTTAAATTTTAGATATCGAGTTCAGTTTTAGCACTTTCTCTTACAGAAGTTTTGACCTTTTAGTGAATTTGTGAGAAAAAAAACAATCTTCTCTGAATTCGCAAAAAAATGATCTTCGAGGTTTAATTTTTTTTTATAAAAATCTATAATTTAAAAAAAAAAGAATTGCTTCATTAATTTGTTTTGGTTCTAGGTGGATCCGTTTGGTTTCAATAATTGGACAAGGAGAATTTTTAACAAACTTTTAAACAATTTTTAACAATTTTTAAAAAACTGTTAAACAATTTCTAACAATTTTTAACGAACTTTTAAACAATTTTTAAGAATTTTTAAGATTTTTTTACAATTTTTTACAATTTTTAACAATTTATAATATCATCTTCTTTACACACATTTTTGGTGTATGGTAACATTTTATTATTATGCACATAGAAGAAAGCTACGGTAATTTTGGTAACATATCATTTTTATAACTTTTCCAAATGCTGGTAAAAATTATTGTATTTAAAAAACTGTGATTCCAGTGTTTTTCTTCATCTGTTTAATGGGATATTTTCTGACACTTGCGGACAAGATAGGTTAGTAATATTTTTTTTTTCTCAAAAATTCATGAAGATTTTTTTTTAGAAAATTACATTTTTTTAATCAAAAATCAAATATTTCTTCTTTCTTAATTCGATTCATTTTTATTCCACGGACGAAGCCGGGCCCTTCAGCTAGTATTCAATAATAATAATAATAATCATTAAAGTCTTATGTAATCCTGTGTTATATTAAACAAAGTAATATTGTTTTAGAGTAGTTCTTGGAGATTGGTTTCATGATCATGGAGCTCCAGACCTACTCCTTCAACCCTTCCCAGAGTAAATATACTATTTTTGGATTCTTTATTAAAGGAACTGTAGACGTAACTTCAAGTTATATTTGTTAGCGTGGCATATCCGCTTCACAATAAACATGTGTCTGATGAAGGATCATCAAAGGCTCACTTCAGATATTGTCTCCAGACTCAATTTCTGTCACATCAATCTTTATGTAAGGGTGAAGATCATTGTAAGTGGAATTACAATTACGACTTTTTGGTCAATTGTGACATCTATAAATTAAAGGGACTGTCAACGTAATTTCATGTGAACAATTTTTTCGTTTTTATCACAGAAAGGAGCTTTGTTTAAAATCATGCAAGATTTTAAACCAAGACTTTTGTGTGAGTATCACAACAAATATATTAAAAATTAAATTAAATATAGTGTTCATGAAGTGTCCATGCAATTCCGCAATATGTGCAAAAATACTAATGGATTGTTATTTTTATCAATTTTTTGCAGACTTAATAAAAATTTCGTTACACATTATGTTATGTACTGCGACTAAATTCTTTTAATTTTTAAACTAATTTTGCAAGAAATTCAATTTATTAATTTTTAATCTGCTTCTGGATGAAAGCGTCCATAAAGCAATGATGGAATGAATCATGTATTTTATATCCAGAGGATAAATGAATGAAAGGATACATCAACTGCATGGTAAGGGACCCAAAAGCAGTGGTTTATTACTTTCATTAGGCATTAGCTGTTCAAGTCATGGACAGAGGGATTTTGGTCTCATTGGGATGTGGAAGTAAAATAGGCTTCTGGACTCTATTTTAAGGATATATGTGTTTATAAGGAAATAGATGATTGTATAATGTAGGTATGTTGGTTTTGTGAATAAGAACCCGTATGAGAATCCAACTTATCCTATTGTTAAATGAATGAATGAATGAATTAATGAAGGGATGAATGAATGAATTAATGAATTAATCAAGGGATGAATGAATGAATGTATTATGTAGGTATGTTGGTCCTGTAGATGAGAACCCGTATGAGAATCCAAATTATCCTCCTGTAGATCCTAATCCAACGTAGGTTCTCTTTTTAGTTTTTAGTTAGTAAATGATAATAAATCATTCAATAAATCAATCAATTGTTCTGTCACATCAATCTTTATGTAAGGGTGAAGATCATTGTAAGTGGAATTACAATTACGACTTTTTGGTCAATTGTGACATCTATAAATTAAAGGAACTGTCAACGTAATTTCATGTGACCAATTTTTTCGTTTTTATCACAGAAAGGAGCTGTGTTTAAAATCATGCAAGATTTTAAATACTAATGGATTGTTATTTTTATCAATTTTTTGCAGACTTAATAAAAATTTCGTTACACGCTATGCTATGTACTGCCAAAGTGAATAAATATTTATTCACTTTGATGTACTGCGACTAAATTCTTTTAATTTTTAAACTGACATTGCAAGAAATTCAAAGATGACTGTATAATGTAGGTATGTTGGTTCTGTGGATGAGAACCCGTATGAGAATCCAAATTATCCTCTTGTTAAATGAATGAATGAATAAATTAATAAATTAATGAATTAATGAAAGGGTGAATGAATGAATGTATTATGTAGGTATGTTGGTCCTGTAGATGAGAACCCGTATGATAATCCAAATTATCCACCTGTAGATCCTAATCCAACGTAGGTTCTCTTTTTAGTTAGTAAATGATAATAAATCATTCAATAAATCAATCAATTGTTCAATCAATTAATAAATGAAAGGAATTATCAATCAATAAATTAATAAATAGATTTATCAATCATAAAAATGATCAATTAGGCAATTAATTAATCAATCATAAATCAATCAATTAACTAATTATTCAATAAAAAGCAAAAGTATTCCTATGCATATTTATTAGTTTTTACAATTTTTAAACAAACAATTAAACCTCTCATTTAAAAATATCTGTAGCATTCCATTATCAGTAAGTTAAGAAAAAGACATTTTTTAAATTCTTTCGATGTCTCCAAAGTTCTTGGTTAAACTTTCGTTATCAATTAATTATTATATAAGAAACACACGTTAAATCAATTATTATATAAGAAACACACGTTAAATCAATTATTATATAAGAAACACACGTTAAATCAATTATTATATAAGAAACACACGTTAAATCAATTTAGTTTTTAATTGATCAATAAGAAAAATCAACCAATCAAAAAATCAATCCATCAGTCAATGAATCTATCAATCAATCAATCAATCAATCATTGAATCTATTAATGAGTCTATCAATCAATCAATTAATGAATCTATCAATCAATCAATCTATCTGTATATTCTAGTACTGTGTGTGGAGTAAGATGGTCGGATGAGAAGAATGATGCAGGCCTGAACAAATATTGGTTAAGGTAAACAATATAAACATAAAAATTAATCAATTGTTAATTTAAAGGGAGAGACCGGCTATGTAACATAGTTGAACTGAGAATGCAGTATTGTAGAGAAAACATTAGGATTCATTTGATACCAATAAGCATTTTTACGGTGTGCAATTTTTAAATCAGGGCGTAAAGTCGTTTCAGTCAGCAGAAGAAACGTTTTTTACAATTCTTAAATAACATGGACAAAACATGTAACAAATTCTATTCTAAAAACTATAAGTTGCATGCATACAAACAGGCTGAGAAAAATAATGAACTTATATCAATGAATGTAATTTATCAAAATTCATTTTAAAATCTCGCAGGTTTAAGCAAATTCTTATGAAGAAATTATAGATTCTAAGGATTTCATCGATACTCTCTTTTAAGAAATATGTTCCTAAACAGCGAATTAATATATAAAACATTTTTTACAGGTTTTGTACACATTAATTAAAGCTTTAAAAAAAACTTTTCTTCTGCTGGCTGAAACAACAGGTAAAATATTACAAACAAATTTACGCCCTTATTCTAAAATTCTAAAATTGTAAAAATGTCTCATTGGTATCGAATGAATCCTAATGTTTTTCTCTATACTACTGCATTCTTAGTTCAACATATGTTACATAGCCAGTCTCTCCCTTTACGTTTTGTTTTTCTCTACAATACTCCATTCTCAGTTCAACTATGTTACATAGCCGGTCTCTCCCTTTAACGGTTACAGTCTAGTTTCTTTAAAATATTCAGAAAAAAATAATAAAGACCGATTTCGTACAAGTCATGGTTTACATACAATAGTTTGTTTTTGTTTTGATTCTGAAAATTCCAAAACATGCCCAGACAACTTTATCTTTAGTACATTTTGATTATTAATAAAAACTTGAAGTATTTGTAAATATAATCTGTTCTGTTTGTTGGGGATGAAAGTAAGAGTATTGATCTAAATAATCACACGGAGTATTTGTATAAAGAGAGGAAATGAAACTGTGGATCAATATCAACATGGAGTAGATTTATAAAGAGAATTAATGGATTAGTTCTAAGTGGACAGGTTATGGAGGGGGTCCGCCTATGGCTGTATGGAAACAAAGCACAAATATGATATTCTCATATTTCTTTCCCCTTTCCATTTCTAGCAATAATCATAATAATTCCGCATTAAGCTGCTCTTGATAATGAGCTGCGTATATTTTCTGATTATTATCTTATGTGTTAGCTAAACAAAATTGCAATGATGCGCAGTTTTTAGTGCGTTGGAAAACATAATTTCTGAGAGTTTTGAATTGAATTTACAAACGCCACGTTTGTTCATAAAAGAACATTTTATTGTGTTCCCTATGCCTGTTTGGATATGGGCTAAAAAATGTTTTTTTAAATGAATTATAAAAATATTCACTAAGTAGATATATAAAGATAAAAATAAAGGTTTTTTTGCACCGAAAGCTCCGGTTTAATTGAAGTACACGGCCGATTTTTAGGCATTTATAAGGTGTACACTGTACGGTACATACAGACTGTAAGTAATCAAATACTTTTGCAGAGTATAACATTTTCTTTAAATTAATTTTAATTTAATTTTAATTTTTAAATTTACTTTTAATTTTTGAATATAATTTAAATTAAAATTCTTATTTGCTCTTATTGATGCTATTATCAGGTGTTCTGAAGATAATATTTGATCAGCTGAAATATGAAAATTAATTTTTTTTTAGAAAAGTGTCATTATTATCTTTTATTATGTTTGTTTATTTGACATTGACAATGCTTGTCTAATGCCATATCTAGAAGCTTAAGATTTATTCATATATAAACATAAATACTTTTTAGGAACTTCAACAATGAAAGTTTTGCAGAGGCGTCAAACTTTTCTGTCACACACAAGGTTTATAGTTAAATATTTATAACCTGGCTTCATTGGGCGATTCTTGCCCATCTTTTATTACAACTTCTTTTAGTGGCTCTATCTTTGAACATTTTCTCTTTAAACAATATAATTATAGAAAATTCCCGGATACTTTTTTTCGTGGATTTTCTAAATTTTTCTTAGATCAAAATTTTTTGGAAACACAATTTTGAAACTCTGAGCTCCCATTACTCTTCTCTGGGGTCATTTGAGGTGACAATGATATGTCTGATTGACAACGGTACCCTTGAAAAGGTTGTTTGATAAAGAATGAATAATCCCTATTTTTCGAAATTTCAAATGATGTTTTCAGAATTCAACACTTTAAACTAGAAAACGTCGATATCGTCCAAATTTGTTAAAGGTTTATTACAGGTATCTTTTTGAATCAGGTATATATCTCTTTAAATGGATGGTTACAGTCTTTATAAGTAAAATGGGTCTTTTTCTGTGTTATATGTTCCTTGGATTATCCAAAATTATATCTTGTCGTATTCCTAATCCACATTTTTACAGAAAATAATATCAAAATCTAAAGAACAATTATGGAGAAATTTTAATACATTTTTATTTTTTTCATTTCCTAGGGACACTGTGGTTCCTGTTCGTATCTTCAAGACTTAGGTGTTTATATTAGGTAATTACTCCCCCCCCCCTTGTTTTCTATAAAATAATTGATTATTCATAGCAAATGAATTATTAAGAAATTAAGACAGCATACCATGCATTCGACCTTCATGTCCATTTATCAAAAGAGTTTTAGGTCGCCAATAAAGTCTCAAAAATATAAATGTTTTAGGTGGTTATTTATTTTGCCACCTTGTGACCAACATTACCGATCTATGATTCCCCCAACAGAGGGAGGTTAGGTTACTTAACGTCCCTTGGAACAGCTATGTAAAAAAATCACCCGTTCTGCAAAGTTTTCGGGAAAAAATTCGCTCATTTTTATCTCAAAACACGATAAAAATGTGTACAACTATTTTTTCGGAAAATAAATTTTTTACTAGACCACGGGTTCCCTTGACCAATTTTGGATGTTTTGTAGACAAAATAAGTCATGGGAACCCTTGGTAAAGTAAAATTCCCTTAACTTCCCTATAAAGTAGTTGTGAAAAGTTAAATGACCCATTCTTTGTAAATTTCAGTAGGCGTAAACTTTATCTCTCAAATTCAACCTTCAAAGGCAATATTGCAAACTTTTAATTCAATAATTGTATTTTAGACAGAATTTGACCGAATCTACAAGAGAGTGCGGCATTCTGGGTTCTCTGTCACACGCACTCATGCATGACTGCTTGCTCAAACTGGGTTAGTGAACCATTTTCAGATTGAAGAATTAGGATATCTCATTCATCCTTGATTAGACAAAGGTTTAGTTGTGAATCAGACATGCCATCCTATAAATGAAGGGTTACTTAAAATAAAGTGTGCACTGTCCCTTTAAGTAACACATAGATCGAGTCTGCTATGAAAATTTGCTTAAATTTTCAAGACTAGGTTGACTTTTAAGTGTTGCAACGCCTTGGCTTTCCATTTTACCTGACTTACTTAATCATACTTTTTCGAAGCACCAGACATGTACTTTTATCATTTGATTTTCAAGAAATTATTGGCAACAAATCAATCCTGTTTGCACCAAATTTATGGAAATCCAAAATTTTCAAAATTGTAGAATCTCAGATTTAAAAATATTTCTAAGCTTAAATGTTTAGGATTTTCTGAGCCCTGTGTTACAATATGGGAGTGGAACATCATCAACACAAAGAAGGAATGCTTCTCGGTAACTATTCCTTTTTCTAAACACATTTACGCGGCATCCAATTATTGAATGTGACGTCATTTCCGTCACGAGAACAACACGTGAAAGGAAACCATTGTTTTGACAGTTTTAAAATATTATTCCTATTTTAAACATGCTTTTAGAAATAAATTTTTTATTTTAAGTTAGGAATTAAAGACCAAATGTTTTAAAAATTCTTTTTTTTAAATAAAAAATTTAATTTTTGTTTGACTTATAGACTTGTGTTTGGAGTTATATCACAAATGAGCCTTTCAACAAGGTATTATTATTATTATTATTATTATCATTATTATTATTATTATTATTATTCTTATTTTTACTATTATTAATATTATTATTATCATTATTATTAGTATTATTATTATTATTATTATCATTATTATTAGTATTATTATTATTCTTATTATTATTATTATTATTATTATTATTATTATTATTATTATTATNCGTATCTTGCCAAAAGTACGATTTTGAACGCCGGACTTTGCGCTCAAACTCAGGGTTTACAGATCTTTTAAAAGTTTTTTTATGTCTCAATCTCAAATGAATCCTAAAGAATTTGACCGCAATACTGCATACTCAGTTCAACTACCTTACATAGCCGGTCTGTCCCTTTAAATCTGAGTTTTGGCTGGTGGAAAATGATAGAACGTGTCAGCTTGCTGGGTTATGGACCGAACTATTAAATTTTCCTCCAACAAAAGGATTAAAAAAATTTTCTCAAATATTTATTTGTGTTTTCCCCAAATCTTCCTTGATTAACAATATCTATTTTAATGTTTAATATCTATTTTAAGGATGAAAATGAAAGTATCATAGCGAGGTTAAAAATTATGATGAACCGGATATACAATGCAATGATTGACCGGATATACAATGCAAAATTTTAGCCTTCTCATATCAATGATGGACACGAATACTAATTTCAAATCCAAAAATCCATGCAGCCTAATTTTAATGACTTTTCATATTTCAAACTATCTATTCTGATACGTACAGGGTGTCCCAATAAACATGGGAATTCAGTGACGAATTCGATATCGTCTTTTCAAATAATTCTTTGATTTAGTATAGTGATACCTACTGAGAAAGTTGTAATCTGTTAGAGTTTCGTCTACTATGTTCACATTTTGTTTGTTTATGTTGTGACTGCATACGGTTGTACTTAGTAAAACAAGAAAATTGCAGTATACAAACAGAGTAAACTTGTCCGTCTTCACTGTTCATCTTACTGAGACATTATAGACACATCTTTACAGTCTTTTATCCTTTTCATAAAATAAACTCTAGCAGACATAATAATATTATGGCTTTTTAAATTAGGTATTACAGTGCTAATTCATAACAAAGACGATATCCAATTCGTCACTGAATTTCCATGTTTTTTGGGACACCCTGTATCACGTTTACACTCTCAGGGCGCAATAAATAGGGATTAAAAAATTAGAGTTATTGGCAATTTTTCAAGGTTCCTTTAGAAAACTTTAAAATTTGTATTTTTTAATATTAAAATTTGTTTAGACGTAACTCTGGTATCCCCAGCTCCATCTACCGACCACCAGACACTATTTATCAGGGAAATAAATTTAAAGAATATAATTATTAAAATAAATCAAACAGTCGAATTCCCTTGGTTGTACCCGCGACAAACTCAGTAATTTTGATAAAAAAAAATCAATTTGCTGAACATTTGCAACCTGAATTTGTAGATTGAAATATCATATACGATATCTGGTTGCAAAGATATTAAAAAATTTAAGCTTATTTTAATCGAACGTTACGCCCAATTTTTTAGAACAAAAATGAGAATTTTTGTTTATTTTTTGCAAAACCTCAAAAACCTCACACGGAGCTATGAGTAATTCAGTATTATTTGGATTATATCTGTATTTATACTTTGTTTGTTTGTTAGCCTTCAATAAACGAGAAAACGGCTCAACCGATCAGGCCCAAATTTTGTGTGGGACCTTACAAAACTTCAGTGAAGGTTTATTGATGCTCAGAATTACAAAAAGTTGTCTCCAAAAATCTTTGATTTTCGTAAAATTTTAAACAACCCACGAAAAAGAATTGTAAATCCGCAAAAAGGAATTGAGCCTTTGTAACAAATTCTGACTTTCTAATACCTATATTTTTTCCACCTGATGGTGTAAACCTTTGATATTTCAATCTTAGATTCTTTCATCTAACAGAATTCATAGTTTGAAATATCTAAGGTCTACGGCATTGGGTTGAAAAGATTTAGAAAATCATAGTTTGTGACAAAGACTCATCTCCTTTGTATAATGTTTTATCGATGAGAAAATTAAAAGTTTAAATAAAAGATGGGCGCCCTGCTAGTCTAGTAATAAATATTTTTCTTGCAAAAGAATCAATTTATTTGTCTCAGATGGAACACTGCTATTGGTATGGAAACCTTACCTCATCTTCTGTTGCGAGACCATGAAATAATAATAGTAGAAAATATTATTTTTATGAAATAAAAATGAATTCTTAAATTTTGTGTTCATCAGTCAGAGAAATAGACATCTTAGTTTCAATTTCAAATTCTATTTTTCTAATCTATATATAAATTTGGCTTGTCTGTCTGTTTGGGTGTCTGTTTGTTTGTATCCAATAAACGGCTAAACCGATCGGGCCCAAATTTTTTGTGGGACATCACGTGACCACAGGGAAGGTTTGTGAATGATAAAAATTAAAAAAAATGTNTTTTTTTTCTTTGTTTTAAAATGTAAACAAAAAGAACATGTTCACAATTTAAACAGAAGATGAGCACGAAGCGCCCTAAAAGCCAAGTATATAAAACTTTGCAGTTTGATATTTCAAATTCTAATTTTCTAATATGTAAAACTTTGCCGTTTAATATTTCAAAGTGTTTAAACTACAGAATTCATAGTTTGAAATATCAAAGGTTTACAACTTCAGGTTGAAAAAGTTTTTGAAAATAGATGCGCGCGGTAGCTTTATCTATTGCTATGTGTAACTAGTCTAAATTTTCAGTTCAATATATTAAACTCTAGGGTATAATCGCTGGTAAAGTTTGAAAAGCCCTACATTGCTCAAAAAAAATCTTAAAATTATCATGTCTTAAATGATTTTCTTCGTAATTGTCCTAAAAGAGATCATTTAAAAAAATTCGGAAAAATGTATTTTTCTAAAAAAACGAGCATTTTTCCCGTTTACATTTATTTTGATATTTTTTCAAAAATTTCCATCGAATCTGAGTTCTCTGGTTGAAAACGGAGAAATTGATATGTAACATTGTTAATTTTAAGAAATTATTTTTTAATTTCTTCAGTAGTTTTTAAAATTTTGGATTCGATTATCTTAAAGAATTTAAAATTTGCCGACCTCAGAATTTTAGGAAAAGTGAATTGCGCATTTCTTTAAACAGATTAGGTATAAAGGATATCGTATTACCTTAAATGTAGGGACAAAGTCTAAAAAGTTGCATATAAAGTCATCTCTGAATTATTATTCTTTGTGGGTAACCCTGTACATAATTATTGTTGCAAAGTAAACAGATTTTAATTTGGTTTGTTTAAGTTACATTTTCATTTAATATCCCCCCCCCTCAACCCCTCTTGTATAAGTCGAAATTTCCCTGTTAAATTCAGATGTTCTTAAATGTTAGGAAACGCCTCAAGGAATTCAGGGTTTCACACTACCTAGCAACACAAACTTCACTGGTATAATCAAAGAGAATAGAATATATATTAGAGTGGAATTTAAAGAATCTCTCGGTATGAATTTTTTCAGTCCCTTTCAGCCTGAAAGGGAGTCAAAGTGTACAAATCATGTAAATGTTCACAAATTTTATGCAGTAGAGTACATTAATACAGTATGTTCCCTAGAATATCCATTTCAATTTTGAATTGTTTAATGCTGTTAAATAAACTTTATAAAATGAATTAGTTGAATAAAAACATTATTTGATTTATAGTTATAACGGAAAATCATCGTTTGTAAAGTGAAAGGCATAGAGTCTATGTGAAATGATCATTGGTCAATTATGAAACCTATTTCATAATTTGGTTTTCTTTCAATATTAATTCTAGCTTTTCTATAAAATGATGTTCCAGGGTTATACAGCGCAAATATGTGAAGTACACCTGCAGTATGGAAACAGTACAACAAAATGGCCGTTTTACACTTTTTTCTACTAAATTCCACTCTAATATATATTCTATTCTCTTTAGGTATAATACCATGAAAATATCAGAAAAAAAAGATTTGTTCAACTCTAAAATATGCAATTCATGTCACACTATTTGGGTCTCTTATGAACAAATATGATGATATTCAAGACAAAAAATAATACTGGTTGTATTCGGTTTTAGTCTAAAATTATTTTAATGTGAGATAATGCAAATTTTTTAACAAGAATCTTTTAAGAAGTTTTCTAATTTTATATACAGGGTGTCCCACGAAACATGACAGTTGGTAAATAGTTTAGAACCTTCTTCTATAATTTGTTAAGTTGTTTGATACCAAAGACAATAATAAAAATATTATATAGGAGTCATAGTAAAATTAACTTCAAAGTAAAGTATATTTGAGCGAAAGATTTTTTAGACAAAATAAACTGCAAACAGCCTTTAATATCTAATACAGTGCAGTATGGAAGAAGACATTCAAAACTATTAACCAATAGTCATGTTTCGTGGGACACCCTGTATGTAGTTACATATACTGTGTAATGTTTTTGTTCTAATACCATAACAAGTTTTTAAATGTTTTATGCAGAGGATTTCTAAGTTTTTTTTTAATAGTACATGATACGTAATTTGAACTTTTGCAGGGACCGTTCTGTTATTGGATGGTATGTCAGGTTCACGACAGCATCCTTTCAAGCTTTGTCTGATCAAGATTGAATGATATCTTTGTTTTACAACTTGAAACTGATTGTGAAGTTTTTCCAATTTTCTTTGCGGATTTCTATTGCCAAAAATTGGAAAACGATGATTTCTTCTAGATTATTGATAAAATAAAAGATAAAAGGCGGAACGATGTAAATCAGACAGATCCTTAATTAAAATATTTAAAACGTTTCCGAGGCCGAATTTAAAGAATTTGAGCCGCTGCTTAAATATGTTTGGTTCCACTTAAAATTGTATTCAATTCAAATCGATTTTTGGTGGATTTGAGACGCGGCTCAAATTAATTAAATTCGGACTCTGATTACATAATCTACTGCTAATACAGTGATAACAAGAAAACAGAATAGAAGACGACATTTTAGCATTACTTAGGTATATTTGATGTTGTTACGAGGTAAATAGATTTACTAGACTAATCAAGCATAATGGGTCTGTTTACACTGCACAATTGATGTGTCTCATGCTCATTAAAAATTTTAAAGTATCACATTTTAAGAATACATATGTTTTCCTATTTCAGAGTTTTCTAGTTAGAACTATAGAATGTAGATTAATAAAATTAAATCTGTACTTAGGATATTAGTGAAATAAATTAACTAAATTCCAGAACTAGGGGTGATATCTACATGGAGGGGGGGGCCATTAAATAGTGGAGGCTATGTTTCCATTTGGTGTTGCTTCCCCCCCCATCTCCAAAAAAAAGTTTAACCCCTCCCACCCCCTCTGAATACTTTACTGCATACACCCCTGTCCATTATATACCTCCTCTGTTAGTTGTTTAATTCATGGTTGACTTGAAATGATATTTAACGTAATAAATACTGCGTTAAACACCATTCATACATTTAAATATGTTTAAACTTTAAACTATGTAAAATATATATATCTTCTATAATCTATATATATTTTGCTTGTCTATATGTCCGCTTGTTTGTATCGCTTAAACGTCACAGCTGAACCAAACAAGCCAAATTGTATATGCAAACTTTGTTTATATGAACATGCAACAAAATGTTTAATTTTTATCTTTTTCAAATTAAAAAAAAATCGCGAAACGCTACCTTTACCTTTTTTCAAGATGAATTGGTCTCTCATATGTTTGTCTATGGTTATATATTCATAACTATTATTTTAAGGCATTTTTCTAGGTACAGGGCGAGGGACAACCCCCCCCCCCCCCGAATATACGGATAATCAGACCCCTCAGCCTTTTAGGGTTAAGTACATAAAGCTCTTTGTTTGAAAAGAAAATAATTCTAATTGGCTGCATTTAATTTTGATTATTTAAATGTAATAATTTAAAATTCAGAGCTTGTTGACTTTGCAAAAAAAAATGTTTATTTTGAAATTTTCGAAAAAAAAAGGATTCGAATATCTAACACAAAACTTTTTAGTCTGTCCATACTTTTTTTAAACTTTAGATATTTATTTTTTATGATAATAAATATCTTTTATAATTCACTTTGTAAACTTAAAATATGACTACAACGTATAATGATAAAATAACGCTTTTGTAAAATGAAAAGGAAAAACAAAAGGAAAAAATTGAGAAAAGATTGAGATGAGAATATTGACCTTTAACAAAATATGTTCAGCCGAAGACTATTCGTACAAGAAACAACATGAACAAGAAACAACATGAACAAGAAACAACATGAACAAGAAACAACATGAACAAGAAACAACATGAACAAGAAACAACATGAACAAGAAACAACATGAACAAGAAACAACATGAACAAGAAACAACATGAACATTTGTAAAAATAAATTTTTTATAATTAATTTGTAATAGTTAATCTTATGAAAAATAAGTATTATTTCGCTCAAAGATTGTTTTATGAGTTTGATCGAGTTGACCTTTAAGAAAAAGACTGGAGGGTGTTAGACTGGTGCATGGTTCAGGTGAAACTTGTAGAAAGCGTTAAAATCTCATAGCTGCGTCTCCCCCCTGAAGGGTATAAAAGGGCAACCCTGTCTTTTACCAGCATCAGTCTTTCCTAGAGTTTCACCATGAGATCCTTTGTATTGGTAAGTTCATAATTGTTCTTAAAATTAGTTTTTAGCAGTCAAAGGTTTTCTAAGGAATTTATTTGCTTTAAATCCTTCTTTTAGTTCCACAAAAAATTTAAAGACTTTATTTATTTTTTCGATTGAACTGATACCTACATGATGTATGTAATTGTTTGTGTACAATGTACAGTGGGTTCATTTTTATTTTATTTTTATTTGTCAAGGCCTGCCTTGCCATAGCAGCAGTCTCTGCTGACCCCTACACAATCGGGCAAGTAAACGCTGGTGTACCTGCTCTTCGTGCTGCTCTCAGCGGTCAACCCGGAGTTATCACAGGTATCAGCTACGGCAATGGGATTGTCCAGGGTCATCTGGGAAATGCTGATCACTATAATGTTGCTCCCTACACCTATAATACTGCTCCTGTAGCGTATAGTGGGTATGCTGCTCCTGTGGCATATGGCGGGTATGCCGCCCCTGTTGCCTATTCTGGAGCTCATTATCTTGGCAAAAGAGCAGCTGACTCTGATGCCGATGCTTACACAATCGGACAAGTTGCTGCGGGACTACCTTATGCTAATGCTGTAGCCACCGGGCATGCTCATAACCCAGGATACATTGCCTATACTTCCTACCCTGCTTCTTCTGTCCACACAAGCTACCACGCCTCTCCTCTGAGCTATGCTGTTCCTTCAGTGTACTCACATGGAGTTTATAACACCAGCCCTTATGTTCATGCTCTCGGCAAGAGAGATGCCGATGCTGATGCCGATGCTTACACCATTGGACAAGTCGCTGCTGGACTACCTTATGCCAATGCTGTGGCCACCGGACATGCTCATAACCCCGGATATATTGCTTACACCTCCTTCCCTGCTTCTTCAATTCACAGAGCATACAATGCTGTTCCCGTTGCCCACTATGCCTATGGTGGCTATGCTGCTCCCTTCTATGGCTAAGCTTGCCATAGATGTAAGGCTTGTTAAGAGTTATGTACTTTAAATAAGTTTCACATCCAAATCACCAGAATAAAAATTAACCAAATCATTAAATTGTATAATGTCTTCCCTGTTTAAATAAATCACAGATTTTCATAATTGTTTTAATAATACATAGTTAGGATTTACCAAAAAAATATCATTTTGATTTTGGATAGTCAAAAGTCGAGGCTCTATTACAACATATATATTTCAGTCTAAGAACATTTGGATATTAACAATTTTTGATTATCATTTTGACAACTAGGGTTACTTGAAATTATGTATTTACAAATATGTACACTGAATGAGAGAAGTTTATGTACATTGTACATAATTTAAGAATGAAATTTGCGCATTTCATGGCAATTACATAGAATATGAGCTAGATTGTGACATGACACAGAGAAATGATGACTAGTTAGGTTGTATTTAAATTGGTATTCTACTTTTTAATTTCTAATCCAATTAAAACAAAAACTAAAGAAAATATGGAAGAAAATAAATAAATATTTTTTTCTGTCCATCAGTTTCTAAAGCTTTGAATACTGACATCTTGTTTCCGCTAACCAGGAACTTATAAAATCTAAGATTTAAAATTAGCATGGAGCAACCTAGTCTTAAAGTTTTGTTTAACAACTAGAGACCTCTAGCGGTAAATAACTAACTTCTTTGTCTGTAAACCTATTAGCCATAGTACCGACTCTGAAGAGGTCCATACCAATAACAATGCTCCATTTTGTATATTGAACCAGCCGGCCGCTTGATTGCACTTGTTATTCCTGAAGAACGCCTGAAAACATAAACCATTTCATTTTCTGGAATTTTTGATTCTTATTTCAAAATGAAGTTTTGTTAGTCTAGAAATGTACCCCTGGCCGGTTTTCCGTTCTTGGGAAACGTTTTTATTTGCATTTATTTCTGAGAAAATTTAATTTAATTTTTGTAAAATACAGTGATAACCAGAGTACAATGGAATTTATAGCAATACCTAAGTGTATTTAATGGTGTTACAAGGCAAATGGTTTTACCAGACACTTATAAAATCATTTATTTTGTGAAATGGGTCTTTTTACACAGCACAATTGCTGTTTTTTGTCGTCATTGAACTTTTTAAAGTTAAAACTTGATTCTAAAAGTCGTCTTACTATTCGAGTTGTCTGGTTATCACTGTACATTTTATTCTTCTTAATCAAGTATAAATTTTATTTTTGAAAATCAACCCAGAATTTTAAAATTTATGCGCAGGGGTTCAATTCAAAACATAAACGTAAAATATTTAGATAAAAAGAAATGACATTTAAAAAATTTAAAAAAATAATTCCTCGCGTTTTTTTTACCTAGTTCTTCCGCAGTAGTATTTGAATATAGGAACAGAATTGTTCTCATCACATTGCAAACACGTATTCAAGGAACCATCCGCCTAAACAAGAACTTTTTTGGCCATTTTTTAATATTTAAAGGGACACATTGGCTATGTACGTAAGGTACTTGATCTGAGTATGCAGTGTTGTGGACAAAGTCTTTAGGATTCTTTTGAGACATAAAAAAACTGTTTAAAGATCAGTAAATCCTGAGTTTGAGCGCAAAGTTGGCGTTGAAAATCGTACTTTTGTGTGAATACTTTTTCAGAATTTTTTTTCTTCAAATTATTAAATATTGACGACAAAAATGTAATCAAAATTCTACAGTAAACTAATTAGTTGTTTAGGAACAGGTTGAGAAAATAAAAATTTATCTTATCATCGGAAATAAGTAATCTTGTTCAATAATTAGTTTCTATTTTCTCATTATTCACAAAGATTTTCTGCAGATTTTCTAGAATTATTATTGAATAGACGACATTTGAAGAATTTGTCGAAATCTGCGAATAAATTCATAGAAAATAAGAAACTTAATATAATGATGAAAACGAAATAATTGATTCTAGCATTGATTTATTGACAAATTTCTTTTGAGAAATATGTTACTAACCATCTAATTAGTTTATTGTAAATTTTTACTTTATTTTTCGTCGTCGATATATTTAATAATTTAAAAAAACCGATTCTGAAAACGTGCCCACCCAAATTCATGATTTTGAACGTCGGCTATGCACTCAAACTCAGTTATCATACATCGTGGAAAAGTTTTATATGTCTCAAATGAATCCTAAAGAATTTGTCCACAACACTGCATACTCAGTTTAACTACAGGGTGCCCCAAAAAACATGGGAATTCAGTGACGAATTGTATATCGTCTTTGCTATGATTTAGCATTGTAATACCTAATTTCAAAAGCCATAATATTATTATGTCTGCTAGAGTTTATTTTATGAAAAGTATAGAAGACTGTAAAGATGCTATAATGTCTCAGTAAGATGAAGAGTGAAGACGGACAAGTTTACTCTGTTTGTATACTGCAATTTTCTTGTTTTACTAAGTACAACCGTATGCAGTCAAAACATCTTACAGATTACAGCTTTCTCAGTAGGTATCACTATACTAAATCAAAGAATTACCTAAAAAGACGACATCGAATTCGTCACTGAATTCCCATGTTTCTTGGGACACCCTGTATCTTACATAGCCGGTCTGACCCTTTCAATGGACTGTAAGCATAGTGTTAAGGGATCCAGCATGTACAGATGTCAATGTCCGATTCACAACGGTACCCTTTAAAGCGTTGTCTGATCAAGGTTGAATAATATGTCGATGTTTTATTTTCCTTAAACTATGTATTTTCATGATTTGCACATTTCTTGCTTATAAGAAGCAATGAAGGGTATCGATGTGAATCAGCTTTTGCATTGAGGATCATTACGCTTACAGTTCCTTTTAGTTTTTATGTGTCTATGAGAGACTCATCAAAAATCTGAGATTTTGAACCAAAATTGAAAAAAAAACTTTTTTACGAACAATTAGGCTTTTTTGTTGAGGCATAAATCTTTTTATCGTTTTTAATTCTATTTTTGTTATTTATTGATAGATTATTATTTATTACCATCAATAATTATTTATTAGTTATTTACTATTTATTTTATAGCCTTTTGACCAACATTACCGACCTTTGACTCCCCCAACAGAGGTAGGTTAAGTTACTTAACGTCCCTAGGGACAGTTATGTAAAATAACTACCCACTCTGTTAAACTTTTGGGACAAAAATCGCGCATTTTCATCTCAACGGACGATAAAATTGAGCACAACTACTTTTTCGGAAATACAAAATTGGTTATTTAACCACGGATTTCATGAACCAATTTCGGGTAATCAAATTGTTACTAGACCACAGGTTCCCTCGACCAATTTTGTCTAAAAAACATCCCTCGCTGTGCTCAGGATGTTTAAGCATAATTGGTCTTGATAACCCTTGGTAAAGTAAAATTCCTTTACATCCCTGTAAAGTATAGTTATAAATAATTAATTTTGAATTCATTATTTATCATTTATTTATCGTATAATACCCTGTTATTAGGTTCCTGTATCAGCATGTTCCACAGGCAGGGCTGAAAAAAAATCATTTTAAAGTTATTAATAAGTTTTTTTACTTTATAAAAATGGCAAGTTAAAATTCACTAATGAATTTTACCGCCTTTTGACCAACATTACCTACCTTGAATTCCCTAAAACTAGGGAGGTTAAGTTATTTAGCGTCCCTTGGTAAAGTAAAATTTCCTTAAATTCATGTAAAGTGTAAATATTTATTCGGTATCCACTAAAAAACGATACTGCATGCATTAATTTTCGAAAATTTGTGTATCTAGGAAAAATATTTTTTTACAAAACGACGGGATCTTTCACATAATTGATCAGATAAAGGTTTTAAGGGTACATTGCCATCTTGGCATGAAGGATCACTTGAAATTACGCATACAGTCCCTTTAAAACCAAAATAATATTTGTTTTACCTTCAAGCAGAGTCTTCTCGTATTGTACATATTCCATTCCCAGATTGTAATACAAGGCAGTGTAAACCCTGGATTAAACAATTTTTTAAAATAATAAAAAAAAATTGACATCTCTGTCGAACAATTTCCTTATACTACGGACGGTGTATAGAAGTGCTTGCAAGAAGAAAAAATATAATTGTTTTAGGGAGTTCTATGGGTTAAAGAGGGGATCTGAGGTTTACAGTTGGACGGGGGCTACAATCTAACCCCCCCCCCCCAAGCAATCCTGGTTCATTGTTAGATATTATTTTAATTATATTATCACCTAGATCCAAAAGACAATTCCGCATAAGATCCGGATGCGCTATTCCCAAGAATGCACAATTTCGTGTTTCTGCTGTGAGATTAGTCCTGAAAAATATAGTTGTTAAGTGGTGGGCGTTTATATCAATAAAATAAAGTCGAATTTTTGGCTATAATTTTTTTTCATCGTATCGACCAAGATATGCAGCATAATATTCAAACTTTTTAACAAAAATATTTCCACTGATTGTAAACAGAGGTCTAAATACTCGAAATCCACAGCGGAAACTTTTAATCTTACAGGGACTGTAAAGGAAAAATGATGGACTATAAAAGAAAAATGGAAGGGGGTATAGGCTGAAAGCTGATCACTTTAGCTCTTGATCGCGACCCATGAAAGTTTGATCTGTTGTTCCTGTCTCGAGAAATTGATGTAAAACTGTGTTAAAATTATACGAAAGTTCATATATGTAAAATTTAGAAAATCTTAAACTTAAATTACGTGACCAGAACTATCACCAATGGCAGAGCAGTATACCATGGTCACATGTCTCTGCCTGGATCACGTGACCACTTTACTGCACTGCCATTGGTGGAATTTCTGGTCAAGCAATACGGACGTATAAATAATATTATGAATTAAATCTATTAAAAATAGAAATAACAAATATAAAATTAGAATTGGAGTAAACCTAAGTTACAATTAGATCTATTTAAACCCACTACTTTTATACCAAATTGTATATATATTAATTTTCGTATAAATTTTACAAAGTGGTATATCAATTTCTCGAGATAGGAACATCAGATTTAACTTTCATGGGTCGTGATCGAGAGCTAAAGTGATTAGCTTTCAGCCTATACACCCTTTCATTTTTCCTTTACAGTCCCTTTAAAGGGAGTCTCTGGCTAGACATGGCAGTTGAGCGGAGAGTGCAGTGTTGTAGAGAAATTTTTTAGTTATCATTCGAGACCTATATAAGACTGTACAAACGTCTAAAATTATTTCTAAAAAAATTCTCTTCAATACTACACTCTCCGCTCAACTACCATTTCTAGCCGTAGACTCCCTTTAAGTAATAAAGCATTTACTACTAAAGAAGATTTCGTTTGGCATCTGGTCGGTGTCCAAAATAAATTAATTTCATCCGTTAAGCTGCTAAGGACACTTATGTACGGATTTAATCTGTTTAGATGCCAAGGACACTTCTGTACGGATTTAATCTGTTTAGCTGCTAAGGACACTTATGTGCGAATTATTGATCTCTAAAGGAATTAACCATAATTTCCGATCTCATGCAGCAAACATTTTTATTAAAAAAAATAAGTTTTTTTTTCTCACCTTAAATATACTCCAAGATCTTGTAGATACGAACAAGAGCCACAATGTCCCTAAAAAGGGTAAATAAGGGTAAAAAAGGGTAATTGTTTAAAAAAGATTAAAAATCTGTTTGTACTGATTTGTTGATATATTGATTAGTTTACGAATTATCACATCTTTGACGTTTATAACTACATTGTGTTCAAATAAACATGACAGCTTAAAGGTCTTCTAGCTGAGACTATTATGAAGATATATATAAGCGTTGCAAATTTGACGATCTGCAATTTTTTTCCTTGAAAAAAGTCCAATTAAATGATATGTTTTAGCAAAAACAGAAACACATTTTCACCAAGAGGGATGTAATTAAAGTAATTTATTATAATGGGTCGTGCGTTAATGTACATAAAAAGGTATGTGATAATTACTACGTAACAAGAAAGTTATGGAAATTTTGCTTTACCAAGGTTTCCCATGACCAATTTTGCCTACAAAACATCCTGAGTGTAGCAATATCCTGTTGTTAAGTAATATTATTAATCTCCCAAAAAAAGAAATTATTCACAATTTTATGAAAATGCGCGAATTTGTTCATGAAAACTTCTCAGAGCGGGCCGCTATCTTACTTAATTATTCCAATGGACGTTAAGTAACCTAACATCCCGCTATTGGGGGGGGGGGG